CGACATACCAGCCCATTACGCTAGGCCATGCCCATTCACCTTGGTCACACCGGTGGTCTAACGCCACCTGCATCATAATCCCGTCTCTCAAAGACTGGGCCATCCATCCATGAGCGATCATCCCAGATCTACTCCTTAGCATCCTCAGGATGCCCACAGACATGGGGAATAGCCTTCCCCGACAACTCTTTTCTAGTCCCCATCAAGTCCCTTTTAGTCTATGGCCGTGTTCGCCAACACTGCCACTGGATCAAGGCCCGTAGGCCTGACTGTTAAGTTCCACTATCCTTTGGGACTTCCTCACCATGTGACTATATCCTTGGTCACTGCATTAGAGGCTTACTCCTCTTCCCTTTCACCGTTTGGGACTTTGGACAACATTTCGGAACACCGTGGCCTTACCCAAGCCTCATGGGTACTCTCCCCACCTTTCACCTTTTGGTGCTCTAGCCATGGGCTTAGAGCGAGGTTCCATTGAACCACGACAGGTATCCAAGTAGGTAGTGCCACCCACACTTGGACTGGGAGCATCGGCCAGTCGATCTCCCAGGGGAACTAGAGTTGGCTCTTGAACACTTCACCAAGCTACCCCGCTTGTTGGTCTGTGTTCACTCTAGTCTTGGAGTTCCCAGTGGGCAGCTCATCACCCAACACTGGGTCCGGCCTTCCTGGGCCAAACTGGCCTTTCCTGGCCAAACTGGCTCCACTGCAATCCTCCCCCTTACTATACTTTTGGAGCTCACCAAACCCCCCAGGGTCTGGGAGACGAACGCTTTGGGCTTTCACCCTCTCAGACTCGAACTCGGACTCGGTCTCGGACTCGGACTCGGTCTCGGACTCGGACTCGGACTCGGACTCGGACTCGGACTCGGCCTCGGCCTCGGCCTCGGTCTCGGTCTCGGTCCCGATCTCGGTCTCGGTCCCGATCTTGGTCTCGGTCTCGGTCTCGGTCTCGGTCCCGGTCTCGGTCTCGGTCTCGACTTCGGACTCCATCTCGGGTCCATCTCGGACTCCATCTCGGACTCCATCTCGGGTCCATCTCGGACTCCATCTCGGGTCCATCTCGGACTCCATCTCGGGTCCATCTCGGGTCCATCTCGGACTCCATCTCGGGTCCATCTCGGACTCCATTTCGGGTCCATCTCGGGTCCATCTCGGACTCCATCTCGGACTCCATTTTGGGTCCACCTCGGACTCCATCTCGGGTCCATCTCGGACTCCATCTTAGGTCCTTCTCGGACTCCACTTCGGACTCCATCTCGGGGTCCATCTCGGACTCCATCTCGGGTCCATCTCGGACTCCACTTTAGACTCCATCTCGGGGTCCTTCGCAGACTCCACTTCGGACTCCACTTCAGACTCCAACTCAGGTCCATCTCGGACTCTTCCATGTGTCATGTGTTGGTCCTTTTGGGTCCCTTTTTGGAGCCTCGCTTATTGCTCACTTCGTGCTCGTTCCTCGAGCACTTTGTTGGGAGTTCCACTCCCGCTCTCGACCTTTCGAGTCAAGGCTTTTAGTCCAAACGTGTTACGCTCATTTGGTTTTCGCTTTGGCCACCACCACATGGCACCCTTCCGGCTCCACTTTGGGGCCTAGGGATTTTGTGTCTCACACGGGCATGGCTGACCAACCTGAGGCATAGTCTAGCTCTTGCTTGCGTGCTTGTTTTTGTTTTGCGTTTGGCTTGGGTCTAAGCCCAAGCTCCACACCATGCTAGCTGGTGGAGTACCCATGTCCTCACGTTAGGCCATCGATATGCCAAAATAGCGCCAGACTCCGTTTGGCTCCGTTTTGCATGCTGGTCCTGGCATTGGGATGCTAGTTACTCTAGGACTATTCCAAGTCGCTCCGGGTTCCTATCCCTTTGCTCCTTGGGCTTTATGCTCCAAAGTTGCTCCATGGTTCAGTTCCATCACTCCTTGGCTCCACACTTGGGAGTTTGGCATTGTTCCTTCGTTCAGTGGCCCAAGGCCCTGAACCTTGGGTTCCGCACCACTGTCCTATGGGTTTAGGTTCCGCTTCGTGGTGTTATCCTATGGTAAACCACTATAAGATAAAGGGTAAAAACCACATGCACTACAAAAAGCCACTCTCCAAATGTGCCACCAAAATTATATTGTCCTCTAAGTTGAGCATGTTTGGAATCTCAAAAACCTTACCTCTCTATTAGCAAGCATATAAGTTTTCCAGCAAAACCAATGGCTCTTAATCTTGTGGAAGACTAAACCCAACAAGCTAAGATGAAGTTGCAACCATGGCCACCAAATGGGACCATTATGAGCACACATCACTCATATTTACATTGCTGAGGGAGTTTATGGTTGTGGAGCATGATTTCTCTTTCCCCCTTGTACTAATTTTGCCTTTATAGGAAAATCTCTAAGTCATATGTACTTCACTATGTGGCTTTGCAAGCATCCAAGAATATATATTTTTATTTACTTATAGATTTTTTTTAGCCATGACTTTTTCTTCAAACATTCTACAAGCCTCTGCCATGGTACACAACACTTTGGCACATCCACTAACAAGGTGCACAACATTCTTGACCAACAAAAGGTTGCCACAATAACAATTTTTACATGATTAGCTATATTGTTTTAGTAGCTTATTATCCTTTTCACAAACTCTTTAATATGGCCATTTGAACAACATATTGAATATTCAAATGTTTTATTTTTGATACGAGCAATGAAAGGCCAGGCCCTATCTCCACCTCACGGAGTAAGTAAAATAATGTTAAAAGTAATGGTATTTCACTTGTGCCGAAGCTTTCATTCAGCATCACAAGTGAGTGCAGCCATCACCCATCAGTCACACACAAGGAGAAAACTTTGCCATGCTATTCAATGAATTTTATGGCCTAGTGAATTTTCTTCCTACCTTTATTTTGTAATCAAAAAACTTTTCCTTCTTTGTTCCTTGCCAAGTCCATTTTGTAGAATCTCATGCCAGCTCTTGGATCTTTTACTGCCTAAACTAATATAGCTTGGTGATATACCCCTCTATCATTGCTTGATCCATTTTGGAATCTTTTTCTTTTTATTTTTACTACCCGTATTGGTTCAACCGTTGTCATAGCAAGCCTTAAGCTCTCAATTGGTATTTAAATGGTAGTAGTTAACATGCTAGACCTATATAAAAGATACTGCACTTGGATTGCTTTTGTGTAGTTGTGTATATGACTTTCCTATTTACCATCCACACCTTGTTTCTTTGACATCTGTCATAGTTTCTTAGCAGTATTGTCAAACTTCAATAAAGACTAACTAGAACTCTTTTAAGCGATGAGTCAAAATTTCCTACCATAAAACACTCTTAACATATCCTGATTTTTGGTTGTTTCATCTGGTTTGATAAACAAATTTGCCTTTACATACATCTCTGAGAATAGTCATGTGAAAAATATGGTGCTAAATAGAGACACATATTTTGGGAATGTGAGAGTCCATAAGATGTGTGGAGAAGCACATGTTAGCTATTGCAATAATACTCCTAAAGACAAGTGAATCTTATATATAAAGCTACTTGAAAGTATTTATGATTAACATAGTAGAAAAGACTCCCATTGGATTCTTGGTACAATTTAGGGAGAAGTGGCTAATAGGATGAGAAACTAAACAAATTGTTAGACGTGGTTTTCAACAAGAGATGGTAGCCAGGGTGTTCTATGAGTTAATAGACCTAATGAGAGGGATCATGTGGGAGATCTGGAAAGCCTATATCTTTAATAAAAAACATGAAGGCCCAAAGGTGGTGGTTACATGGGTATGGGCATTGATAATCACTGCAGCTTCTATGCCATAGCTAGAAAAAAGAAGAGGGCAAAATAGACCAGAGAAAGCATAAATCTAGCATTGTTTTTAGAAGTTAAGTGAGGTAGATACTCAGTGAAGCAATTTAGCTTCAGCTATCAATAGAAACTCTAACTTACAAAGATAATTAATATTGTAGGTGCTTTTATGCCACCAAAAAGACCCAATTTCAGCACTAAACAATAGAAGATTAGGGTTTTTGGTGAGAGAGTATCCAAGAAATAGGGAATTTTGATCTAAACTTTGAGCAGCAGCTCCAGAGGTCCCACAGTGACAATGCCTATCACAGATTAGGTGAGGGAGAGATATTTTTTTCTAATTGATCCTGCCGCAAAAAAGGCAATCACTCCAAATGGGGATCCAAAACGACCCCCCTTTCTCTCTCTCTCTCTCTCTCTCTCTCTCTCTCCCTCTCCTTTTTAATCACACACCTTCTGTCTTGGTTGATCGAGAATAATGCTTGGCACAGGCTTGCCAATGGAAAGCGGCCTTTTCCACCATTTTTTTCTACGTACAATTCGCCAAAGCTTGTCAAATATTTTGTCGTTAAAAGATATATTTTAGGGCTTGTGCACGTGGTTTAGGGTTAGAATTTTTTTCTGCAAGAGCTGACTTCTCGTGTATAAATCTCACTGTTGTGTGCTCTTAGATGTTCATTCGATCTTCCTTGGAAGAGTTTTCATTTGATTGACGATCATAGCATAGCTTTGTGTTTGTGTGACAATGGCAGGAAAAACGGTGCTCGTTCTTGTCGCGATTGCTGTTGTGGGATCGATGATCATGGCCAATGCAAGCTACTTCGATGCTTGGGCAGGGCCCGGGTGTAACAATTGGCTGGAGCGCTACCGTGCTTGTGGATGCACCAATGTTGGAGCCTCGCAGCACGGCGGCTACAGCGTTGCGTACCTGGGCCATGCTGCTGCGGCCTACAACACGGCAAACTGCCAAGGTGTGGCACAGAGATGGTTTAGGAGGCACTGCTCCGGCTTTAGATGGAACAGCATCTTCATCCAGTGCTCAAGCTCCATGGCTCCAAATCCCGGCTCCATGGCTCAAGCCAAATAAATGAGAAAATCTTCCATGTAATATTACATTGCAGCTTACCTTTGGATGGAAGAGTATTTACTTAAGATGCTTTAAGAAAGAAATTCCTGGGCATTGGGCACATATTTTAGGACGGGTGAATGCGATGGCGCGCTCGCGAGGGACGAGCAGCGGTAAGCAAGATCCACGAGTGGAGCGGCAATGCGCTGCAAGCATACGATTCTCAGCGGCGCAGCAGCCAGGCGCCGGGCATGGCAGCCACTGTCGCGGCGCTGAAATATTGCGCCAGATCGAGAGACATTGGGAGCGGGAGGAGGATTCACTGCGATCTTCGGCAGAGCTCGGCGCTTTCTCGATCGATCTTGCTGGAGAATATTTTGATCGACATGTATTTCAAGTGTGGTGGGGTTGGGGAGGCTTGGCAGCTCTTCCAGGAAATGCCTCACAGGAATGTCGTCTCGTGGACTTCTATGATCCTTGGAAGTGTTGACAGCGGCGATCCGGAGGTGGCTTGGAAGCTCTTTTCGCAAATGCAGGAGCAGGGTGTTGTTGCTGATGCTCGGAGCTATGTCGCTGCATTGAAGGCTTGCTCCAGCCTGGTCTCTAGACGAAAACCCCAGGATGAGAACGGTGGTGATCTCTTGGAGAAAACGAAGGCACTACACGCTCAGATCTTAAAGGCTGGCCACGAGTCGGACATCTTTGTGGGAAGCTCGCTGGTGGATCTCTATGCCAAGCTGGGGAACTTGGTGGAAGCTCGTCACGTCTTTAGCAGGATGGAGAGCCGCGACGTTGTTTCGTGGAATTCTATCATCTCCGGCCATGCACGGTTTGGGGAGGGGGAGCTAGCTCTGGAATTGTTCGAGAAAATGCAAGAGCAGGGATTCAAGCCAAGTGCTCGGACCTACGTAGCTGCTGTTCTTGCCTGCTCGAGCTTGGCAGTCCGGGAGAAGGGAACTCTAGTTGACGGCACAGTTGTCAAAGTGGTTTCTCTGAGGAAAGGTTGTGCGTTACACTCTCAGCTTGGCAGAGATGGGCTTCTGCCGCAGCTTATAGTCGCGAACTCTCTTATTGATTTCTACGTGAAGTGTGGGAGTATGGAGCTTGCACGGGAGGTCTTTGACAAGATGGCAAAGACCAGTGTAGTTTCGTGGACGTCTATGATCACGGGCTATACTCACTGTGACCAAGGCGAGATCAGTCTCCAGTTTTTTGAGAGGATGCAAGAGAAAGGCTTGGTCCCGGACGCTCGGACTTTCGTCGCTGCATTAAAGGCCTGCAGTAGATGTGCCGACGGCGCCAAAGAGAAGATCGTTTTGCTGGACAGAAGTTGGAAGATCTACTCTCAGCTCAAGCAGGCTGGACACGAGATGGACTTGTTCGTTGCAAGCACTCTGGTGGACCTGTTTGAGAAGCTGGGTAGCATGGTGTACGCACAGCAGGTTTTTTACGCACAAGACATCTTTGACAGAATGGCCAGCAACGACATGGTCTTATGGAACTCAATCATCAGGGGCTACTCACAGAATAGTCATGACAATCTGGAACTAAAGACATTCGCAACAATGCTGAAGATGGATATAATGAACTAAATATATTTGGGCTCTAAACGCGAGAGATATTGGAAACAGGCTGATTACGAGTTTCTTCTCAAGGGAAGATCCATCCAGAAAAAAGAGTCTTGGTAAGAAAAATCTCATATAAGAAGGTAGAGTGAAATATTGATCAGGCTAAATTTCTATTATTGTTTTTGGTGCTTGCACTTGATTAGTATCAAGATCAGTAGTTGAAACTGGTAGCGAGCAGCAAATGACAATGTTGATTAGTGAAAGATTTAGGCAGTATATTCCTAGCGGGCAAGTGTGTGAGAGAGGGGTTGGTATAACATTTCCTTCTTTAAGATATAGTATGGCATTACAAAACCTTGTTGTGCAATAAACCCTTTCACAATCTTTAGCTCAACATGCTTGGATTTGTCATGGCCAAGCCTAAATCTGTTATTTAGCTATGTTCTTGGAGACTTAAGAAGGTGCTGGAAGCATGGATTGGTAACATTTAACCTTTTTGTACAAATTTTATGTATTGGAGTGTGAATGCTGTTCCTTCTTTAAATTCTTGAGTTCCAAGTCTCTATTTTACTTGCCATTTTTGTGGGGTCATAGATCTATCCCTTCTGGGTCTAGGATGCATCACTTGAGTTGAGACTCTCAAGAATTCATTACATGCAAGTCATTTTTCTCCTAAGATATTGTTGATTTCTTTCTTGATTTTGAGTTTTTCCTCTGCCATTTGTTTCTTAGGCAGCTTGTTAATTGTTCCCAACCAATTGCTTGCAAATAAGTAAGAAATCCAACCAATAGAATATATGACAATATCAGGCCAAATATACTTAACTAGATCAACATTTAGGAATTTGCTCACATTATCCATAAAGGGAGTGACTTGGTAATGTTTTATGGCATTTGTGACATTTCCCCTTTGATCTCTATTTAAAATAATTTCATGTAGAAGTCAGATTACAATACTAGAACATTGGGTAGTACCTTCTGTCATAGTCTTGTCATGGATAAATATGGCATTCTACTTTTTCAACTTTGAGAATATTTAGATGCAGATTGGAAAGGAGCTTGCTAAGTGATGATCCTCAATACCAAAGACCAAGAATTAACTTCTTAGAATGTGGTTCAAATTGTAGTATCATAGCCAGACCCTCTCCATAACAAACAACATTTGCTCGACACACACCAACGAGTCTTAGCATTTACAATATAGCATGGTCAACTTTTTCCATATGGATTGAACAAGTTTGTCCCTTAACTTTTCTTCTATCTATTGTGAATCAGCATGTTCACTTAGGCTTAAAGAGGCAAAAGATCAAGTGTTTGACATTACACCTCTAATGCCTTGGGCTGTGTTAGGAGCACTTTTTTGTATTTTCTTATTATGATTCATGACAAGAAAAGCATTCTCCAAATGTGCCACTAAAATTGTGTTGTCCTCTAAGTTCAGCATGTTTGGAATCTTAAGAATCTTACCTCTATATTGGCAAGCACATGCACGAATATACATTTTTATTTATTCATAGATTGTTTTTAGCCATAACTTTTTCTTTAAACATTATACAAGCCTCTAACATGGTACACAACACTTTGACACATCCACTAGACAAAGTGTACAACATGGTAAATTCTCTACCAGCAAAAGGTTGCCACAATAATAACTTTTGCATGACTAACCATATTGTTTTAGTAGTTTATTATCCTTTTTAGAAACTCTTTAATGTGCCCATTTAAACAACTATTCAAATGTTTCATTCTTGATACTAGTAATGAATCACTTTATGGCCTAATGAGTTTTTTTCCAATCTTTGTTTTGTAATCAAAGAATTTTTTCTTCTTTGTTCCTTACTAAGTCCATTTTGTAGGATCTCATGCCATCTCTTGGATCTTTTGTTACCTAAACCAATATAATTTGGCAATATACCCCCTTTGTCATTGCTCAATCCCTTTTGAATTTTTTTTTTTCCATTTTTACTACTTGTATTAGTTCAGCCTTTGTCATAGCAAGTTTTAAGCTTTCAACTAGTATATAAATGGTAGTAGTCATGCTAAATCTAGATAAAAAACACTGCACTTGGATTGCTTTTGTGTAGTTGTATATGTGACTTTCCTACACCTTGTTTCTCTGACATCCATCATAGTTGCTTAACAGTATTGTCACAATGAGCCAAAATTTCCAACCCATATAAACACTTTTAACATATCTTAATTTTTGGTTGTTTCACCTGGTTTGATAAGCAAATTTGCCTTTGCATACACCTCTGAGAACAGTCATGTGAAAAATATGGTGCTAAGAAGACATAAAGATATATACTTTAAGAATGTGAGAGTGTATAAAATGTGTGGAGAAACACATGTTAGCTATTGCAATAACACTCTAAAGACAAGTGAATCATATATATAAAGCTACAATTTGGGGAGAAGTGGCTAATAGATGAGAAACTGAATAAATTGTTGAAAGTGATCTTCAATGGGAGATGGTGGCACTTGGTTCAACCAACTCAATGTAGCCCACACTAACACCTGAAGAGTGTCCTATGAGTTAATATGCCTATTAAGAGGGATCATTATGTGGGAGATTTAGAAAGCCCAATGTAATAACATCTTTAATAAAAAACACAAAGGCCCAAAGGTGGTGGTTATATGGATATGGGCACTGATGATCACTACAGCTTGTATGCCATAGCTAGAAAAAAGAGGAGGGTAGAATAGACCAGAGAAAACATAAAAAGAAGCATAAATCTAGCATTGTTTTGAAAGTTAGGTGAGGTATTTATGGATGGATATGCTTGTGAATAATGCAACTCCGAAAGTCAAAGAGTTGCTTTATTTTTTTTCTCAGGATAAACAATATCATATATAGTTGGTGGTTATATGGGTATGGGCACTAATGATCACTGCAGCTTGTATGCAATAGCTATATAAAATAAGAGGGCAAAATAAACAAGAGAAAACATAAAAAAAAGCATAAATCTAGCATTGTTTTTGGAAGTTAGGTGAGGTAGATACTTGTGGATGGATATGCTTGTGAATAATGCAACTCCAAAAGTCAAAAAGTTGCTTTCTTTTTTTTTTCTCAGGATAAACAATATCATTTGTAGTAGGAAGACAAAGGAATTTAGCTAACACAAACTCACTTACAAAGAAAATCATAAAAGCAAGTGCTTTTATGATGCCAAAATTTGAATTTCAGCACTAAATAGAGAAGATTAGGGTTTTTGGTGAGAGAGGATCCAAGAAATAAAGGATTTGGATCTAAACTTTGAGTAGTAGCTCCAGAGGTCCCACAATGACAATGCCTATCATAGATTAAGTGAGGGAGAGATATTTTTTTCTAATCAATCTTGCCACAAAAGAAGCGATCACTCCAAACGTGGATCTAGAATGAGCCCCCCCTTTTCTCTTTCTCTCTCCCTCTCCTTTTAATCACACACCTTCTGTCTTGGCTGATCATGAATAATGCTCAGTGCTGGCCTACCACGCCTTTTCCACCATTTTTTTCTATATGCAATTCGTGAAAGGTTTCAATAATGATTAATGCTTGTTGTCCAAAGCCAAATATTTTGTGGTTAAAAGATATATTTCAGGGTTTGTGCACGTGGTTTAGAGTTAGCATTTTTTTTTACTACCATTGACCCTTGACTGTTTCGCATGTGGTTTAGGGTTAGAAGTTTTTTTTCCTACCTTTGACCCTTTAAAAGAGGGTTTGTGCACGTGGTTTAGAGTTAGCATTTTTTTTACTACCTTTGACCCTTGACTGTTTCGCATGTGGTTTAGAGTTAGCATTTTTTTTACTACCTTTGACCCTTGACTGTTTCGTGGCATGCATGCAAGAGCTGACTCACTGTTGTCTGCTCTTAGACGTTCATTATATTTCCTTGAAAGAGTTTTCATTTGATTGACGATCATAACATAGCTTTGTGTTTGTGTGACAATGGCAGGAAAAATGGTGCTCGTTCTTGTCGCGATCGCTGTTGTGGGATCGATGATAACAGCCAATGCAAGCTTCTTCGATGCTTGGGCAGGGCCTGGGTGTAACAATGTGCTGGAGCGCTACAGTGCTTGTGGATGCACCAATGTTAGAGCCTCGCAGCATGGCGGCTACAGCTTTGTGTACCAGGGCCAGACTGCTGCGGCCTACAACACGGCAAACTGCCGAGGTGTAGCACACACACGGTTTAGTCGCTCTGTACAGGACTGCTCGGGCTTTGGATGGAACAGCTTCTTCATCCAGTGCTAAAGAGCTCCATAGCTCAAATAAAATTGCCAAATAAAAGAGAAAAATCTTCCATGTAATACTACATTGCAGCTCTTTAGTCCAAGGTTACTAGTATTTACTTAAGATGCTTTAAGAAAGAAATTCCTGGGCATTGGACACATATTTTAGGGCGGGTGAATGCGATGGCGCGCTCGCGAGGGACGAGCAGCGGTAAGCAAGATCCACGAGTGGAGCGGCAATGCGCTGCAAGAATACGATTCTCAGCGGCGCAGCAGCCAGGCGCCGGGCATGGCAGCCACTGTCGCGGCGCTGAAATATTGCGCCAGATCGAGAGACATTGGGAGCGGGAGGAGGATTCACTGCGATCTTCGGCAGAGCTCGGCGCTTTCTCGATCGATCTTGCTGGAGAACATTTTGATCGACATGTATTTCAAGTGCGGTGGGGTTGGGGAGGCTTGGCAGCTCTTCCAGGAAATGCCTCACAGGAATGTCGTCTCGTGGACTTCTATGATCCTTGGGAGTGTCGACAGCGGCGATCCGGAGGTGGCTTGGAAGCTCTTTTCGCAAATGCAGGAGCAGGGCGTTGTTGCTGATGCTCGGAGCTATGTCGCTGCATTGAAGGCTTGCTCCAGCTTGGTCTCTAGACGAAAACCCCAGGATGAGAACGGTGGTGATCTCTTGGAGAAAACGAAGGCACTACACGCTCAGATCTTAAAGGCTGGCCACGAGTCGGACGTCTTTGTGGGAAGCTCGCTGGTGGATCTCTATGCCAAGCTGGGGAACTTGGTGGAAGCTCGTCACGTCTTTAGCAAGATGGAGAGCCGCGACGCTGTTTCGTGGAATTCTATCATCTCCGGCCATGCACGGTTTGGGGAGGGGGAGCTAGCTCTGGAATTGTTCGAGAAAATGCAAGAGCAAGGATTCAAGCCAAGTGCTCGGACCTACGTAGCTGCTGTTCTTGCCTGCTCGAGCTTGGCAGTCCGGGAGAAGGGAACTCTAGTTGACGGCACAGTTGTCAAAGTGGTTTCTCTGAGGAAAGGTTGTGCGTTACGCTCTCAGCTTGGCAGAGACGGGCTTCTGTCGCAGCTTATAGTCGCGAACTCTCTTATTGATTTCTACGTGAAGTGTGGGAGTATGGAGCTTGCACGGGAGGTCTTTGACAAGATGGCAGAGACCAGTGTAGTTTCGTGGACGTCTATGATCACGGGCTATACTCACTGTGACCAAGGCGAGATCAGTCTCCAGTTTTTTGAGAGGATGCAAGAGAAAGGCTTGGTCCCGGACGCTCGGACTTTCGTCGCTGCATTAAAGGCCTGCAGTAGATGCGCCGACGGCGCCAAAGAGAAGATCGTTTTGCTGGACAGAAGTCGGAAAATCTACTCTCAGCTCAAACAGGCTGGACACGAGACGGACTTGTTCGTTGCAAGCACTCTGGTGGATCTGTTCGCGAAGCTGGGCAGCATGGTGGACGCACAGCAGGTTTTCAACGCGGTGAACCGTCCTGATGTTGTGCTCTGGAACGCTATAATCTCTGCTGCAACTCAGTGCGGAAAGCACGAGCTAAATCTGGAGCTTTTTCACCGCATGCACGACGGGAGCGTGGAACCAAACGCTCGGACTTACGTTGCAGTTCTCGGTGCTTGCACTGGATTGGTAACAAGATCAGAAGTGGAACCTGAGGACCAGCAGCAGACGGCGACAATGCTGTGCTTGACAAAAGCCATGACCATTCATCAGCAACTTAGAAAAACTGGATTCGAGACGGATAGTTTCGTGGCGAGCTCTCTGGTAGACTTGTACTCGAAGTGCGGCAGCATGCCCGAGGCACGAGACGTCTTCGACAGAATGGCCAGCAAAGACGTGGTCTTATGGAACTCGATGATCAGGGGCTACTCACAGGATGGTCATGGCGATCTGGCACTAAAGATGTTCGCAAAAATGCTCGGGGATGGATTCGAACCAAATGCTCGAACTTACGTTGCGGCTTTGAGCGCTTGCTCGAGCCTGGCCAAGCGAGAGGTCGGGAAACAGACCGACGACGAGTTTCTTCTACTCAAGGGAAGATCCATCCATTCCTTGCTTGCAAGAAGCGGACAAGAAGAAGCAGATGTGTTCGTCGGAAGCGCGTTGGTAGACATGTACTCCAAATGTGGGAGCATGGACCAGGGACAAGTAGTTTTCGACAGGATGACGGAACACAACGTTGTGTCGTGGACAGCACTTATATTCGGGCATGCTTTGAACCAACGAGGAGAGGTTGCTCTGGATTATTTCCGACGCATGCAAGACGAAGGACTAGAGCCGAATGCTCGGGCTTACATCGCTGCACTCAAAGCTTGCTCCAGCCTTGCGATTCCAATGGTGGAAGTTGACGAAGAAATTACGTCACGGAAGGTTGCTGCCCTCCACTCTGAGATCATCCTCAGCGGGTACGAGTCGGAGGTGTTCGTGGCCAGCAGCCTCGTCGATGCTTATGCCAAGCTGGGGAACTTGCGAGGAGCCGAGCAAGTCTTTGGGAAAATGCCTCAACGCAGCGTTTTGGCGTGGAACTCCATCATCAGAGGCTACGTCCAGCACGGCAAGAGCGAGCGAGCTCTGCAGCTTTTCGCCCAAATGCAAGATCAAGGATCCAGGCCAGACGCTGCCACATTTGTCGAAGCATTCAAGGCTTGTGGAAACTTGGGAGTTTTGGAAGCAGGACGAGAGATTCATCATCAGACGCGAGCAGCGGGATTGGAGTCATGTCCAGGCGTCGCGGCTTCTCTGGTCTGGTTTTACGGCCGGTGTGGAAGCATGGTCGAGGCTCAACAGGTTTTCGATTCGGTTAAGCAGGACTTGGTTGCTTGGAGCTCCCTCATCGCAGGCTACAGCAACCAAGGTGACGGGAAAAAGGTGTTGGATCTTTTCGAGAGAATGCAGATCGATCAACGGGTGGCACCGGACAGAGTGATTTTTCAACATGTTCTCTCAGCGCTGAGCCATGGTGGACAAGTTAACGAGGCCAAGGAGTGCTTTCGAGTGATGTGTTCTGATCACGGTATAGTTCCGGATGCCGAGCACTACGCCTGCCTGGTCGATGTTCTTGGTCGTGCAAACCAGCTCGAGGAAGCTGTGGCTATGGCGGAGGAGATTGGCTTGGAGCCAAATGTGGTCTTTTGGAAGACCATCTTAAGTGGCTGCTCTAAATGGAGGAACGAAGAGGTTGCAAGGATTGCTGTTGAGAAGATAGCTGCATTGGATCATCGAGGAGCTGAGAATTATGTGCTGGTGGCCAACACTTTCGGAAGTTCCGAGTGAGAAAGATCTCCAGGTTTGTCTTCTTTTTCTTGTTTTACTTAAATGGCTAACATCGATGATCAATCCAACGGCTCAGGTGCAGCAAATACTGGCCTTACACGTATGACATTGTCGTGACTACATCGAGCTACGTAGACAAAGCAGACTTTGACACCTTTGCAGGCTTGTCATTTGTGACATGCCTCGAGAGAAGTCTGGATAATTGTGAGATTCTTTCAGAGGTATGCTGTAGTCAGCTCTCACAAATTTGGGATTGCGATGCAGCCACCAATCTTCATCGCGGCAGCTGCTTCCATTGGAAATTTTCTCCAAGGTTGGGATAATGGTGCCATCGCAGGTAAAGCTCTTGTGCTGCTCTATATTGGAACTGAAAAATCTTGTTTTTTTTTTTTCTTTCCTTTTAAAGGTTCTTTGCTATTCATAAAACCAGCCTTCGACTTGGAAGAAAGTCCGGGACTAGAAGGAACTGTGGCTGCTTCTTCTCTTATTGGTGCTTTCCTGAGTACACTCTGCTCCGGACCTGGTGCGGATTGGCTGGGTAGACGCTCAATCCTGCTCGTGTCGGCAGCTCTCTACATTCTCGGTTCTTGCGTGACGATATGGTCACCCAACGTTGCGGTGCTTGTTCTGGCAAGGCTGCTCGTTGGTGCTGGGAGTGGAATCTCGGTGACTATAACTCCAATCTACATAGCAGAGCTTTCTCCAGCGGAGATCCGAGGCCAGCTTTTGACGTATCCGCAGTTCACGGGTTCCGGAGGTCTTCTTCTTTCGTATATCTATTGCTTCTGCCTCTCGCTGATGGACACGCCGAATTGGAGGCTCATGCTGGGCCTTCTGCTCCTGCCCTCAGTGCTATTTCTACTTCTGGGAGTTTCCTATCTGCCAGAGTCTCCGAGATGGCTTGTTAGCAAGGGAAAGATGCTGAAAGCAAGGGGCATTCTACAGAAACTCAGGAACAAGAACGATGTTGCTCGTAAGTTTCTGTCTTGGTTTTTCTTTTCTTTGGAATTTTACGAGCTAAAGTTTGATGCAGCCGAGCTTGCACTTCTCGTCGAAGGACTCGGCGTTGGAGCAGATACTTCACTGCAGGAATGGGTGCTGGAGCCAGCCAGCGAGACCACTTACTCGAGAAAGAGCTCGGTTCTGAGCGCTCCAGAATCAGGCATCTCATGGCTCGCTATAAGCAAGCCTGCCGAATCGCTCTCTAGGCACACAACTGCAGAACCCAGCAAACTCCAGTTGGTTGATCCGGTGGTGACAATAATTGGAAGCCTCCAGTCCACACACGACATCTCGCAAGCATCAGACACACGCAGCGAAGGTGGTGATTTTGACGACGAGAAGCCTGAGGATGATCAGACGAGTTCCCGTTCCCTTGCAGAATTTGACGACGAGATCCTGAAAACACCATTCATCAGAAGGAAGTCTGTTGAAGACGAACTTGGACAGAGTGGAAGGTGCCTTTTACAGGAAACTCGAAGTTTCTACGGGAGTTATACCGGTGGCGAGTCTTTGGTTCCTAGCGTTGGAATCGGCGGTGGCTGGCAACTGGGGTGGCAGTGGCAAGAACAACAACAGGGAAGCACCAAAGACAATGTGGTCACCTTCAAAAGAGTTTTTTTGCTGCAAGATAGTCCCGAGAAATTGGCAAACTCGCTCCCGGGTGGTGGCGAAGCGATTCAGGCCGCGGCTCTTGTTGGCCAGCCAGCACAATCTTGTGGAAGTCTGCTCTCAAAGTCTGCCGTTGGTCCAGCTATGATCCATCCCATCGAAACAGCTCTACAAGGCCCTGCTTGGTCGGATCTACTCGAAGGTGGAGTTCATCGTGCTCTTATGGTGGCAGTAGTTTTACAAGTCCTCCAACAGGTACTTAAAAAGTTTGTTTCTTCCTAGTGTTTCCTCATTCACGCTGTCTGTCTTTTCAGCTTAGCGGAATCAATGCTGTTCTGTACTACGTTCCACAGATCCTCCAGCGGTGCGGTGCTGCTCAAATCCTAGCAAACGCGGGATTAAACCCAGACTCAGCCTCGATACTTGGAAGTGGACTAGCGTGTCTCTTGATGCTGCCTGCGATCGTGGTGGCCATGCGACTTATGGATCGAACGGGAAGAAGGTAAGGCAAAAGCTTGCAAATTACATTCATATAAACGATTTCTTTCTCCTTTTTCCAGGCGATTGTTGCTCACGACACTTCCATTGCTGCTACTCTCGCTAGTGATGCTGATTATCTCCAATTCCATACGAAAAGGAGTCGTCCAATCGACCATCTCATTCATGGGAGTTGTGCTCTACGTGTGCACCTTCGTCATGGGCTTTGGTCCCATTCCAAACATCCTGGCCTCGGAGATTTTCCCAACGCGAGTTCGTGGAGTGTGCATTGGGATCTGCCAGGTGACCATGTGGAGCTGCAGCATTTTGCTCACGAACCTCTTCCCAATGCTGCTGCTGGAGCTGGGAGTGGCGGGGATCTTTGGCTGCTTTGCGGTGCTTGTTTCGGTGGCGTGGTTCTTCACGCTGTTGAAAGTTCCAGAGACCAAAGGCATGCCTCTGGAAGTAATCACGGAGTTCTTCGCAATGTCTGCCAGGCCCAAAACTCTGGAAGCAAAAGCTTAGGAATTGTATGTCACCTTCCAGTAAAGAAAATTCTTACTGGCTACTAAATTCAAATTAAATTAAAATAAAGTGTTCTGACCTTATGCTTAACAATCCTCCCCTCGTCAAAGAATGATTATCTGCGATCACACTTAAGCCACCATGGTCTTTCTTTTAGGGTCTACCAAACTTTGGTTCTCCCTCTAGATCCATTATGTTATAAGGTTTGTAAATACGTATGTTACATTAGATAAGTAATATGTTAATTATAGTGGACCGTATTTTGGATTGAATCTAATCCATCCATTCTTGTATATAAACAGTGGTTTAAACCCTAATTAATATATTTATTCTTATATCATTTAAATAAAAGGCATTGTAATTTGTCCTTAAAGAGCAAAGTTTTTTTAATAATATTTTTCTTTAGTGTTCTATATTGTGTTTTTTGTTCTTATTTCTTAATTCTCTTTTAAATCTAGATTTGTATTAATTTTTTGCAAGATCTAAAACTCTAGTTATCGCTATATTTAGATTTACTCTTTCTTCTAATTTTCATTGCATTCTTTTTTCCTACCATACTATGTTGTCATCAATTAAGAAGTATGTCATTTAAGATTGCTAATGTTACTCTATTAGATCAAACTTTTGGTGTTGTGATGTGTGATCATGTTAATATTGCACTCATCCTTTATATGTTACCATTTCCAACTTCTATGGGACATGATTATATGCCTTGTCCTATTCTTGGTGTTATGCTATCTCTCATGATTGTGATATCAATTGGTGAGTTATGGATGATGCAATTTTGTTCTTGGAGAATGTTGAAGAATCAAGTTTATAGGAAAATGATGTGTATGAGCTTAAGTGGATTTTAGATCATTTTAATGAGTTTAATTATTATGGAAATAGCTTTGGAGATGAAATGGAGATTTCACAAGGTAGGTATCAATCCTTCAATTTGCCATTTGATCTTTTATTTTTACCTTCTATTTTTTTTTAACATTCTTTTATTTCTTAGCCAAAATGTTGAATATGTGCATAAAGGTGAGATTCTTATTTTTATTTTGTTGGCAAAGTCTTTGATCAGTTTTGGTGTTGAGTATTTTTTTATTCCAAGGGTTAAGTCATTTTAGCTAAAGTTTTGGGTTGAGTGTGTGTCTTCATTTCTTTGTGCTGTTAAGAGCTCTTATTTTACCATTGATGTTGAGGAGTTTATGTATTCCCTTGAGAGTGTGAATGTTATTATTAATTTTCTTGTCTCAAATGTTAAGTTATGTGTTGAAAAGGTTAAGCAATGTGAATCTTTTGCTTATATTGTGGTAACCAAAATATTTTATGATAAAAAGTCCTTTATTTTCTAAACTTTGAGCATATATTCTTCTTTGATTTCTTTATTTTTGCATTGCCAATTGTTGTAAATTCTTTATCCAATGCTTTTTTGTCCACTTTTTCTTCTTCCACACTATTTCTTTCTCAATTTTTTTCACTTTCTCCTCTTTGCCCTGATGCTTCAAAAAATATTTTTTTCAGAGGGGGTAGAGGGGGCAGATGGGTGTCTGGCTTGATGATGGAGTAAAGATGAATAAATACAATAGTGGAGCAAATGTGAAAGATATGGATTATGGGATGAGGGCAAATATAACAAGTTCAAATGGAACATTTAACCCTAACGTAATGAGGCTAAACAAGTGTGATAATGAAGTAAGGCCAAACATAGATAACAAAATAAGAATGAGCATAATAAGATCGAATGAAACTAATGCTTAAAAAAAAAATTCCTTCAAAGAGGGGATAAAGAAGATATGGCAAACAAGTGGTGTAAGTTCAACTTTTTATATATAGTGTTAGATAAAGATAAAGAGGCAAATTTTTACTTATGGTCATGAGTTTGAGTTAACAATGGTCTTGGAAGATTATTAGTAGGAAGATTTAAAAATAGGATGTATCATTTATTACAATGATATTTCATGAATTACAATGGTTTTTAAAATCCTTTGCTTTCATTCAAAATTATGACTTTAAAGTTCTATAGTTTTGGGTTTTATTTCAATTATGATTGTGAAAAACTTTGTTGGTGGTTTTGTGGGAGTTTTAAATTCTTATGGTAATTTATAATCACCTAGTAGAAGCTCTAAATATTCCATCTGACTTATTGCTATCACTTTTTTCATCTTCTGGAGGGGAGGATGGTGTAAAGTTTGTAAATACATATATATATATATATATATATATATATATATATATATATATATATAAACATACATACATACATACATACATACCGTAAATAATATACCTATTCTTATATTTTGAGCACTCACAGTGTAATATAATTTAATAAAACATCTAAATTATGTTTTTTTTCTAAAAATTAGATATATATATATTATTTATTTGTATTTTAATTTAGCAAAGATAAAAAAAACTTTTAAAATATTTATGAAAAACTTATGTCATACCATTTATCTTTACCATTATTTTAAAAATGATAACTTGGTTCGGTTAAAGTTTTAGACACTAAAATTGAATGTTGAAATATTTATAACCATATTAATTATGAAATAGCATTTTGGATACATGCAATAAAATTTATTCTACTATTTTAAAATACCATGTAATTTACACTCTTTCGTTCAAAACTAGATTAAATAAGTTCTCAATAATTTAATTAACTATAATTAAATCTATTTAAAATTTTAAACTGTACTTATTTAGAAGTTATTATCTTGAAGTTTTCATTTTTAAAATAAAAAACACAATATTAAAATAACTACTTTGAAATTTATTCTAAGTGGGATATATTCTATTGCCTTTTAATAAATTAAAAACTTAATAACTTAAAAGTTGATTATATCTCTCTAGAAAATCAATTTAAATATAAATTAATTGCATTATATTTTATATAATATTATTTATTTATTTTTAATCACTTTTATAATTTAAATGATCATTTTTTTATTTATTATTTTAAGTTGTGTATATATAAGATATAAATATACTATAATAAAAAATTTAAAAGAGGATTGATTAAAATTAAACTGCAATATATATTTCAAATAATTATGTTATTATTTATATTTTTAATGTTTATGACCAATATTTCACTTTAGTGACCAAGTGTTAAAGAAAAATAATACAATTATATGTCCAATAAATTGATAAAAATATTTATATGACAAACTAAATAATTTTTTATTATTTGAGAAAAATACTGTTACAGATAAAGTTTATAAAGAACTAAATGTCATTAAAAAAATAGTGACTAATAGGGTTTACTATGTGAATTTTGCATCCCAATATCCGTATTCCCAATATTTAAATGCTAGTTCCTCCTTTTGGATTGTCATAAAAGCCTCATCTCCTACATTACTTACCAAAAAATAAAAACAATAATCTTAGTTGACAATTAACTGTAACTTTAAATCCTGAGTTCACTCATTAAAATACATAGAAATTTTTAAAATGGTTTGAAGAACAATAAAAATATATGTTATGGCACTACTATTTTTTTTATGGCAATTGTGAGATAAATTAAAAAGATGTATTATTCTATTTTTTATCCTTAATTAAAATTAGCTCTGAAAATGGTGAGATATATATTAAATAAAATGTTATATCATATGGTAACAAAAGAAAATATAAAATCAGCTAAAAATTTAATTTTTATTTAATTAATTTACATACTACAACAAGTAAATTGTTTTTTGTTATTTAACATAGACTACATTTAAAAGTTATATTGCTTCACAAAGAAGTAATATCAACTAACTCTTTGATCTTAATGTAATATTGGTTGTACAAGTTTAAATAATTATCCATCCTTATGAAGTTTCTTAAATACTTTATGCTTGCTCTTAATTTATACATACATCATTTGCCAATAGCTATAAAGCTTGGAGTTTCTATTGTGTTTTAGATCTATTTTAATTTTTAAAATTCAAAGCTTGAAGAGAAGAGATCATTTAAAAGTGACTACTTATAGAAAAGTTTGTCCAACTGAACAAACTACTATAAAGGCTATCAAAGGCTTTTCAAAAGCCTTACAATTCTGCTTTATCTCTTTTTTCTTCCTTAATCCCTCAGTAGTAATTACCTGGTTAAGGTCCAAATTAGCAATCACGTCCTTGTAATCCTTCTCATGTTTCATGGTTGTATCAATCAATTACATTAGTAAATTATTAGCTCACATTTCTCCCTGATAACCCTGCCAAGGAGATCTCTCTAAAGAGATTTATGATGGGACTAAATAGTGCTTGTGGAGGATGTGAAGAGGGAGAAAATTTCTCTCTCCCTCTTTCTCAATGCTTGCTCCAAGCGTTGAGCCAGGAGGAAACCCTAGTGGGAGGACGGGGAGGATGGCGAACTTGGCCGGAGAAATCCAGGAGGAAATCCAGTGTCCCATATTGGAAGTTTTTTGAATTTGAGACATAAAACTAATATTCTGAGAATATTCAGCAAACCAATCGGATATTCGTTACGAATGAATGTTTAAACCCTAGGCATGCGCTCTAGGGTTTTAGGGAGCGAGAGAATGGCGTGGGGAAAGGCCGCGAGCAGCGGCACCGACACCAGCGATGGCGGCGGCGGCGGCATTCGCTTCCCACGGGCGTGTTTCAAGACGCGAATCGATGCGGCATCCAGGTCCGCGGTGGGCGTCCTCACGGTCGAGGCGGGCGATTTGCTCCTCCGCGCCTCTTGCACCGACGACACCTTCGCCAGCGGCCCATCCCTGGACGGCCTCTCCCTCGGCGTCGAGAAGCCCGGCTCCTTCCTCTTCGACTACGATCTGGGCTCGCGCTCCCCAAAGTTCCACTTCTCCAGCACCGCCAATGTCATGGGCTCCAGGACGCTCAATCTCTGCTACACCCACCACCAGAGCGATCCATCCTCCACCGCGGTCGAGGCGGCGCTCACGCTGGATCCCAAGAACAAGCTCGGCCTGAGCTACGATTTCGCGTCCCAGGCGGGGAGAGCGAGGTACTCGTTCGTGCACGATCGATCTGGGGCTTGCTTGGAGCCGGCATTCCACCTGGGAACCAAGACGTGGGATTTTGGAGTGTCGAGGAAGGTGAGCAAGGAGGATAGCATCAAGGCGACGTACAAGGGGCTGGACAAGAGCATTGTGGTGGACTGGTCGAGAGCGAGCAAGGATGGAACTGGGCCTTTCAAGATCTATGCGGACATTCCACTCGCGAGAGAGAGCTCCAAGCCGCCAAAGCTGATGATGGAGAAAACTTGGAGCTATTGATATTCCTTCGTTCGTTCATTCGATCACTCTTGATAAAGCCTAGTTTTTTTTTCTTCTTTCTTTGAGTTAAATAGTTTTTTCCTTCTTTTTTTGAGATAGTAATGGAGAAATCTGTTATATATGGATGGTAGGCACTAAAAAAAACATTTGGAGATGGGAGGTATCGATCCTCCTACCTATGCCGATCGTCGTACATCGCTCTACCATTTGAGCTACATCCCCTTGCTTTGACAATTAGAATTAGATTAGTCTAAACAAGGATAATAGGAAGTGTTCTTCGCTTGGAATTCCTTTTCCAGGGAGCGTTACGAATGATAGAGTTTGTTAAGGTCGCTTCGTGCCGCTGCTTCAGCCACTGCGAGCTGATCGTTGGCATCCAACGCAGCCGTCTTTCTGTACTCCTCAATCTCTTTCTGAGCAATCGAGAGTGCACGATAATGCCTTTTGGTTTCCCTGCAAACACCAAGATACCAGGTTGATCGATCAGGAAAGCGTGCTTGCTTACCCCAAGAGTTTCTGGCTCTTGGACAAATCGTGCTCAAACTTCTGCCGAGCTTGTTCCAGCGTCATGATCACCTGGAGTTTACACGTAAAACTTGCGGATTTTCACCTCCAAACTCTGGGACCATACCTCGTTTAACTCGGCATTGGCTGCTCCGTGCAAGCTTCGGGCCTCCATTATGATTTCTTCGGGCAGGCCCAGCCGTGCTGCAATGTTTAGAGCATTCGAACGTCCTGCAAACCAAACAGTATGATACTACACGCTCCATGAGTTACTACTATTCACCTGGAAGCCCCCAAAGAAGTCGGTAAGTTGGTTTGAGCTTCTCTTCGTCGAACTCGACTGATGCATTCTCGAATCTATCATCACTGTAACAAAAGTAAAAACCACAACTGAGGCGCTTATAAAATGCCTGTTGAATAGCACTTGCCTATATTTGAGCATCTTGAGTTCTCCATGATGTGTTGTGGCCAAAGTGAGAAGACTACCAGCTGCAAATGACTCCAGCATTGCCATTCCTAAAGCCGCGCCTTCCACAAAGTCTGTACCAGTTCCAACCTGCAAAACCTTCGAACATTTATCCAGCACTTGCTAAATGTTGCAGCAAACCGACCTCGTCCAAAAGAACTAGAGAAGAGCTCGTTGACTCCTCTTTGATCCGCTGCAAAAATGTGTAAGCTCGAAAAACTCTGGCCGCCTTCCCATACACACCTTGATTCTGAGCAAATGTCCGGAGAACGTTGATAAAGACTGGCTTAACGATTGTTGATCTCCTATATCAGCAAGAACTCTATCAACCCATGGAATTAGAGCTGGTTCTTTGGCTAAAACGTAAAGTCCTGCAAAAAGGAATTTTTCTAAGGAACAATAGGCATAAACACTGAAGCTTACCTGCTCTGGCCATTAGCACAGCTAATCCAAGCGTTTTGATAGCAGCAGTTTTGCCTCCCGTATTCGGTCCAGTAATGGTGACAACTTTTGTTTCTCTCTTGATAAGGAAGTCAATGGGAACGGGTGCGGAGGCCTCCAGCTCTGCAACCTAGCTGATTGAATGTAAAAGTTAGAGACAGCATCTGAAATCGATGATTACTTCTTCTTCAGCTTTGGTAATAGCTTCCTCTGCCGCTTGATAGTCCTGAGCACTGGTGAAAGCCCGTGACTTCATCCTGTTAAGAATCTGGAGAAGCTTTGTGGTGAGTGTGCAAAATGAAAGGCACATATGTCAACCTTCCGTTTCGTGTTCAGTTTTACTTTCGCTTCACGTAAGTTTCCACGGTGTTGTTCTAGTAACAGAGGATGTCTGGCCCCTTCCAAAAGAACTAGAAACTCGTCCAATGTACTCTCCGATTCGTCTCTTTCCGCGTGTACAAATGAAGGTCTGGTCGCTCCAATAGAAGAGCTGTATCTTCCACGAGCCAGCACCTACACAGATCCAACAAGTTAAGGATAACAAGGCAGTGAAGCTTACCACATCAAAATCTGCAACAATATCCAATGTGAAAGAAAAATTGCTGAGAGAAGGTCTCAACTGAAGTATCCACAAAACCAGACTCAGGAAGCTATAGCGAGAGCGGGGATGCAAGGAGGAAAGACCTTGGTCGTGAGATCATCCAGAACACGGTATTCAGCTTGAGCAGCATCTGCTCTAGCCTGCGACAAACTGTTGTTTAATGCAACAGCTGCAGAAGGTTCTACGTAGGAAACTAATCCTCCGGCAGAACTGCAAAAGATGTGATATGGAAAGCAGTCGTTGCAAAGACAAGATTACCTTTGCAAGAGTAGACCTGGCACTTTCGAACTGTTTTCAGTAGAAACTGCCACGCAAAGCCTTCCATCAAGGCTGGCAACCTGATAACATTCAACATGATTTTCACCTTCTGAAGACAGCGTAATAAACAAACCTGACCATTAGGATCGCCAGCAAGCCTGTCGATGACAATCCTCGTCATAAGCTCTTGAAGCTATTATAAATCATACATCCTCTCCACGGTATCCAAAAGCATTCACTCAGTAGTACCTTTCTCTCGCACGAGGCTTGTTCCATTCTCGCAGTTCGTAGCTCGGGGCTCTGCAATATAAACGTCAGCAGCAAGGAACACTAGTTCAATCATTATACCGCTGAATCTTTCACCGAACCATCGTCGTTAACAGCGTTCCAGATCGTCTTTGTAGTATCAACGTCGGCATCAATGGAGCAAAGCTGACAAGCAAAACATCGCAGTTAGCTTGTAGAAAAGTGTGTCCATGCTTACCATATCATAGATAGGACGCAAAATCTCTTGTTTCTCCTTGTTTTCTTGAAACGAAGAGAAAGCAGCATGCCTGAGAGAACGAGCTGCTTCAAGCATAGCGGCAAGGGCAGCAGCTTCTCTGCCCGATAGAGCAACTCCTTTGCTAGCACGAGTCAATCCAACTTTAACCTGCAGGGAAGAAGAAAAATAATTCCTACAGCAATCGTATCAAACTTTGTGTTACCACATCTGTTTGGATTGCTCCAAGGTCACAAGAATTCCCACGAAGAGCTTCAAACTCCAATGCGCCATGAGTCTCCGAGAGAAGCATCTCACTGGCACTCTCAGTGCTGGGCAGTTCGAGAACCTGGAGAGAACGCACGCCTCAAAGTATCAGCAAAAGCTAGAAAATTTCTTCAATGAACCTGGAGGCGTTGCCTTCCCAGCGCAGTGCTAGCAAAACTCGAAACAGCACTGGACAGTCTCTTCCATTCCAGCACCTCGAGAGTCTCTTGCGCAGCGCTCATTCGCGCAGCAGCTCTCACGACCAAAACCCTGCGCAACGAACGCTCAATCCATGAAATGCGCAATCCGATTCAGCTCAAATGCTCAGTGCTACACAAGAGATTGACATCTCAGCTCACCGATTGAAAGAAGAAGAGGCGGCATTGAAGCAGCAGCGCCTCGGCAATGGCATGGCGCCATAGCCGAGAGCCAAAGCCATTCGCGATAACAAGTAGCCCTAAAACCTTTCCAAAATAAAAAAATGGAGATGGGAGGTATCGATCCTCCGATCGTCCGACCTTGCTTTGAAAATTAAGAATAGATTAACATAAATTTAAATAATAGAGGATTAGAATAAATCTTAAAGGAAAAAGAAAATGGAGATGGGAGGTATCGATCCTCCTACCTACGCCGATCGTCCGACATTGCTCTACAATTTGAGCTACATCCCCTTGCTTGAAAATTAAGAATGAATTAACATAAAATAATAGAGGATTAGAAAAATCTTAAGGGAAAAAGAAAATGGAGATGGGAGGCATCGATCCTCCTACCTATGTCTATCGTCGACCATCGCTCTACCATTTGAGTTACATCCCCTTGCTTGAAAATTAAGAATGAATTAACATAAAATAATAGAGGATTAGAAAAATCTTAAGGGAAAAAGAAAATGGAGATGGGAGGTATCGATCCTCCTACCTATGTCTATCGTCGACCATCGCTCTACCATTTGAGCTACATCCCCTTGCTTGAAAATTAAGAATAGATTAACATAAAATAATAGAGGATTACTAAAATCTAAGGAAAAAGAAAATGGAGATATGTCTATCGTCGACCATCGCTCTAATTTGAGCTACATCTCTTTGCTTTGAAAATTAAGAATAGTTCAACATAAAATTAAATAATAGAGGATTAGAAAAATCTTAAAGGAAGAAAAAATGGGTATCGATCCACCTACCTATGGCTATATCGCTCTACCATTTGAGCTACAACCCCTTGCTTTGAAAGTTAAGATTAGATTAACGATAATACTTTTCGTGTTCTTGGATGAGACACCAGGAATGCGTAGAGCTCATCCAATCTTGCCGATCGATCAACGATGTGAAGAGAGCGCATTCTCTCCTCCAATCTCGTCTCGATCTTCCGCGCGAGGGATTCGTCTCCAACAAGCTGCTCGAGGTGTATGGTAGATTTGGACGGGTGGATCATGCCCGAGAGATCTTCGACGCCCTCGCGCGGCGCGATGATTTCTCCTGGATGCTCATGCTCCATGCCTACTCCCGGAATGGGTTCGTGGAAGAGGCGCGAATTGTCTTCCGCGAGATGCCCAATCCATTCCTCGCCTCGCACAACGCGATGCTGGCGGCATTCTCCAGCAAGGAGCAAATCGAGGAGTCCATCAAAATCTTCGCTGCAATGCCGCAGCGCGATCTCATCTCCTGGAACTCGATGCTCGCGGCCTACGCTCACAGCGGCGAGATCGATCGAGCACAGCGCTTCTTCACCGAGATGCCCGCCTGGGACCTCGTCTCCTGGAATTCCTTCCTGGATTGCGCTTGCAAGAACGGAGAGCTCGATCGATCCAGGCACATTTTCGAGATCATGCCCACCCAAGACATCGTCTCCTGGAATTCGATCCTCGCGGCATTCTCGCGAAATGGGCATTTGGAGGAAGCCAAGAACACATTTGATACGATGCCGGAGAGAGATCTCTTCTCTTGGGCATCAATGCTTAAATCCTACGGAAGCAGTGGCCAAATCGAAGAAATGGATCTCATAATCGTACAGGTGCCCGAGTGGGACGGTGTTCTTTGGAATGCCGCCATTGCGGTATATGCCCAAAATGGGCACCTTTTCCGCGCAAAGTCAATGTTTGATTCTATGCCAAGCTGGAACACAGTGACGTGGAACTCCATGGTGGCAGCGTATATCCAGCACGGGGATTTGGACCGAGCAAAGAATCTTTTTCACACAATGCCAGAGAAGTCCCTAGTATCCTGCAACGCTATTGTCGCGGCATATGCCCAGAGTGGGCATCTAGGAGATGCCGAGCGAATCTTTGAGTCCATGCGACGCCACGACGTGGTTACGTTGAACTCCCTGCTGACTGGGTACGCCCACAAGGGGCATGTGGAGAAAGCAAAGCGGCTGTTTGATGAGATGCCCCAAAGGAATCTGGTGACGTGGAATGCCATCGTGGCAACATATGCTTTGAACGGCCACGTCGACGAGGCCGAGCAGATGCACAAGCAGATGCCCCAGAGGAATATAATTTCGGCAACTTGTATGCTTACGGCATATGCCCAATGTGGGCATGTTTTTTCAGCAAAGCGAGTTTTTGATGAGTTGCCACAGCAAAATCTAGTGTCTTGGACCTGTATGCTAGGTGGGTTTACTCAAAATGGAGAAATTAGATTAGCAAAAAGGATGTTTGATGGGATTCCACTGCAAGACGCAGTTCTTTGTAGTGCTATGCTTGCCGCATATGCCCAGAAAGGGCATACCGAAGATGCCAAAAGAATGTTTTTGGAGATGAAGCTAGTGATTGATCCTGAAGAGACTTGCTTTGTTTCGATGCTAATCACTTGCAGTCACGATGGAGAGCTCTACACTGGGAAATGCTGCTTTTCTTCTATGAGACAAGATTATCTTCACAATCCAACGAAACAACACTATGCTTGTATGATCGATTTGCTTGGAAGATCTGGATATCTAGATGATGCTCTGGGCCTTATAAACACAATGCCCTTTGTTCCAGACACTGTAGACTGGGTGTGCTTTCTTGGATCTTGCAAAAACCATGAAGATGCGATAGATTATGCTAGATTAGCTGTAGACAAGCTGATAAGCATTGACCCAAGGCATGGAGCTGCCTACATTTTGTCCTCAAGCATACAAACAAAAGTCGTCAGTTCTTTTCAAGTGGAAAGCATATGCCAGTGGAATTGAAAAGGTTGAATTCTACACGTTTTTTTGCAGGTATCTTTGCCATGGAATCTTCGTTGGTTTAAAAATCGTTGTTGCCTACTATTGACTAAGACTTTGTGTAACTATCGCGACGCAAATGCCGGCGAAGGGCATCTTTTTGGTTCCCCGTAAAAAATGCCTCCCATTGGCTGGCGGGCTTGCTAAAGGAATCCCATCTATAGACGAAACCACGGCGAACGCGATTAAATAAAGTTTAATAAGAATCCATAGCAAGGCAACAAGTATCCAGAGAAATTAATTGGATCCATTCCACATGGACGATCCAAAAGGTGAGGAGTGGATAAGTGCTGTCAGTTGGGTACGCCACCACTCCAACGGCCGCGATTCGGCCACGCAACCACGACAACCCCATCCATTCTACAGCCGTCCATTAACCGACGGCTGCGCGACGTCCACCTGTCCACAAAAGCGCTAGCTACAAGAACCCTAATCTTCGCTTTTGTCCACATTTTCACGCAAGAAGAATGGGCGCTTGGGACGATGCCGAGGCTGGCGTTGCGGGGATCTACGCCGGCGGCGCTGGATCTAGCAAGGAATCGGTGCTGCCGAGGACGCCGTCGGTGGATGATCTGTTTGCCCCATTGTGGAGATTGGAGGTCCAGCAGCAGAGCCTAGGTCAGATCCAAGATCTCGGCGCAGCGAATTGGAAGAGCGTCGATCGCGTGCCCAAATTCCCAGCCGGGGGTAAGAAAGATCCACTGTTTTTACAAGCTCTGATCGAGAGTGATCAATGTTCCAGGCCCAGAGAGGGATTTCGCTCCCGGTCCGGCTCTTCCAGCTCTGGATCACTTTGTTCCTCCGTCGACCTCCACCTCGGAAGAGGACCAGCAGCTCCGGGGCGTGGACGACAAGAAGCAAAAGCGAATGCTCTCCAACCGCGAGTCCGCGCGTCGATCGAGGCTGAGGAAGCAGCAGCATATGGAGGAGCTGCGATCCCAGCTACTGGATCTGCGGGCGCAGAACAGCCACATTCTTGGCAAGCTGAGCGTGGCATCGCAGCAGTTCTCGCAGATCAGCCATGACAACCAGCTCCTTCGCTTGCAAGCGTCGGAGCTCGGCCGCCAGCTGCAGCGATTGCATCGCCAAGCGAGCGTCCATCACCCGGATGGGCTTCACGCGTTTGGATTTGGGACGAGCCATTTGGATCCACCGGGCGTGGCTCTGCGATCCAGCTCGCCCCCTCCTCGCTCGGCCTACGCGATTGTCACGGATGTTCTCCAGGGATCAAGCTTGTGCTCGTGAGTAGCTCATTGCGATCGATCGATCGATCAAGAATTTTAAGTTCTTCCATCGATGGAAGACCGAATTTTCGCCTGTACATCTAAAAGACTCCTATTCTTTCGTTCACATTCGTGTGCTTCTTTCTCTCGGATGAGAGATCTGGAGGAATTTAGGAGCTCTTTCTCTGGTTTCTTCGTAGTTCTCTCGGATCTGTGCTAGGATCAACGAGGAAATGTGATGGCAGTGGAATTTTTCCTAGTTTTCTCGGATTGAGATGAGGAAGGTCTGGCGAAGGAGAGGCGTTGAGTGGCTGCTGTGTGCTTCGTGCAAAAGCGTATGTTCTTCCAGCATACGGTTTGGATACGATAAGATACGCTCCAGCTGTGCTGTCGTTTTGTCCGGTGCGAAAGCTTTTCAAAATTCAAAGTGAAACAAAGGGAAAAGGGGCAAAAGAATAAATCTGCTTTAACTCTTTTATCTCTTCAGTTAAAAAAAGTCAAAAAGGAGGGATAAGAATGATTCTGCCCTAATTTCTTTCTCCGCGAGGAGCGCAAGCACCGGATTTCCAGATCGGCGCAAGAGCAGCGCCAAGTTCTTTGAATTTCTTGTCGATCTAGCTATGGCGCCCGCGGAGTCCTCCGATCTCGGCAGCGGCATCCAATGCGTGATGGTAAGCTACCGCTCGATCGAAATTTCGGTGGATTATCTCCTCTTCTTCCTTCTCCTCTCTCTCTCTCTCTGATCAGGTGGATGCATTCACTGGCGAGGGTTTGAGAGGGAATCCAGCGGCGGTTTGCGTTCTCTCCTGTGAAGCTGATCCCATGTGGATGCAGCGCGTAGCGACGGAGCTCAATGTCTCCCAGACAGCGTTCCTTGTGAAGAACAGCAGCGAGGAAGAGATTTCCCCTTTCGACTATGAGCTTCGTTGGTTTTCTCCTCGATGCGAGGTAACTTTAGATCAAGCTTATCATTGTGCTTTTAACTCTTTTCTTTCCTATAGGTGTCTCTATGCGGTCATGGAACTTTGGCCTCGGCTTATTACCTCTTTGCTACAAAGGCTGTGAAGGGCGACTTGATTCGATTCAATACAAAGTCTGGAGTGTTGCCCGCTCGCAAGATCGGGACGTCGTCCAGTGAAAGTTTCCAAGTGGAGCTGGATTTTCCCGTCATGACAACTTCTCCTTGCGACAATTCCAACTTCGTCTTGACTGAAACTCTGGGTGGTGCCTCGGTTGTCGCCGTTTCAACGTCTGGACGGGGAGATCTCATTGCAAGTAAAGACTTCTTTCCTGATACGTATCAACAATGTGTTTGTTTGTCGCTATTTTTCCAGCTAGAGCTCTCGTCCGAAGAGCACGTACGGGGCTTAAAACCAGACTTCGACGAGGTTTCGGCTTGCTCTGATTTTGGACTTCTCGTGACAGCAAAAGCCAGCGCTCATTCAGCGTATGATTTTGTTTCGCGGTTTTTTGCTCCGAGATTTGCCATCAACGAGGTACAGCATCAACATCGTGCTCTTCGCACAAGAGAAGTTTTCCGTTCTCTTTAGTAAACAGCGTTTTGCTCGCAGGATCCAGTTTGTGGAAGTGCTCACTGCGCATTAGCTCCATACTGGGCGAAGAAGCTGCTCAAGAACACGCTCTCGGCTTGTCAAGTAAGAACAACACTGGAAAATGCTGAAACAATCGCTAATGTTGAACAAATCCAGGTATCTGAGCGTGGTGGTAGGCTTGATTTGCAAGTCAAGTGGGAGAGTATGCGTGTTTTAATGCGAGGAGAGGCTGTCATTCACTATGGGTATAAAGAATATCCTTTGAATATTTAAGTGCCTGCCACCTTTTTGCGCTCTATAAGCGGTTTAGGGTTCCCTTTCTTTGTGACATGGAGCTTCCGTTTTGGAGGAGTGGTGGACCGAGCGTGAGGCAGATGGTGGTCGAGATTGACGGTTTTGTCAGGTGGTACGAGTCTCTTGCGCCTGAAAAGAAAGCCTGGGCGGCGGCCGAGCACGCCCCCAAGGCTATGGCGGAGTTTCTCTACCAAGTCAACCACATCGAGGGCGAGGGGTTTGAGACGCTGGAAGAGACGCAGCGGGCCATCGCGAATGGAGCTTTGCAAGAGGAGGAGGGCGGCTGGAAACAGGACGATGACCGGCTGGAGCATGTCTCTTGCCTCCACCGGGCATTGCGAGCTTGGTTCCCGGCGTCCGCCACCGAGCGAGAGATGCCCGGGCTGGGCATCAAGAAGCTGCTCGAGTCCCACAAGTGCATGCTCGAGACTGTGGATCCCGAGATCGCTGGAAGGATGCGAGGTGAGCGAGTGTACATGTACACAATTGATGGTCACAAGCACTACTTCCTGGAGCCGGACAAGATCAAGAGCGCCCTCATCGTGCTGATGAATCGATCCAACAAGGAGCTGCGGGACATCTTTGCGATGCCCAGAGGTTTGGAGCGGGTGGAGCGCCTTGTCAAGTTTGCCGGGCGCTTCTTCTGGGAGTACGAGTCCATCCATCCCTTTGAGGATGGCAACGGAAGGACGGGAAGGATAATGCTGGCGCACGTACTGAGAAGCATCACCATCTTGGCTCCTAATGTTTTGTTTGTGGATAAGTCGAGTGGGGTGGAGCCGCCGTTCGTGGAGAAGGATGTCTACTCGAGGTGCTTTGAGAGGGCTAGATTATCCTGCGACCCCGCAGATCTCACGGCACTCGTTGTAGAGGGCGTTTATGTCGGATGGAAAAGGTTCTTTGAGAGCCTAGAATGAGAATCTCGTTGTAGTATTTAAAACTAGCTTTGCAACTATGAGAGCGTGATTGAGCATATCGGCAGCAACTTAGATGCTGCCTAAACAAACAATAAACTTGTAGCCTATCATTATTCACTAAATATTACACAAAATAATTGAAATAAAAATATCGTTGCAGTTCGCTTGATTCCAATAGATGAGTGAATGAATACACAGAGGATGATTAAAAAAAAGCTCTTTGTTCTTGCGCCAAGGTAGTCTCAAACGACAGCAATCCAGAAAAGCTGGCGAGGTTATCGAGGTTTGTGTGATTGTCAATAATGCAGTGGACTGTCCGTGAAAGCTGAGATGGGTAAGTTATAATCTCAATCGTCTGCTTTTGTTGTTCATTTTCTTGTCCTGTGTAAAAAGCAAAGCAGAGTACCTTGAGAGAGGTATAATATTTTTTGCGTCCTGATTGTAACGCCGGTCTGCAGTTTCTCTACAACCAAGAAAATGGATCGCTCAACAACTGCAGCAATCTTCAAGGGCATTAGCGTGAAAGAAATGCTTTCACTTGCACTCGGTTTTTAGAGGAAGCGGGCAAGTACTTCAACAGGGGTCCATACGGGATACGAGGGGAACGATCACAATGCTCCGCCAACAAAAATCAATGCACCGCGACTATCTTGGTCGCTCGAAAGGAACCGCTACAACCTTGGAGAGCCGGAGCCTCGGTACCAGCTCTATCCTTAGCGAGGATAGAGCCGGAGCTCGATACCACCAGTCTTGGGCTCTAGAGCCGGAGCTCCGCTCAGATGGATGCGTTCTTCCTGCTGTGTGAGAGGTTGACGCCGTCTCTCTGGATAGGCCGAGAACATCGTAACGAAGAATGCATGCCCAGCCCCATCACCACCACGGCCAAAGCGTGCTTACTCGGAGCCGCTTGAAAGACATGAGGCCTGGTTGGATCCTCAAGGAATACTTGGTCCCTGTCCCAGGCTCGAAACACAAACATCCGGTCCCTGGGCACTTGGGCGACGACCAACGACATCCTTCACCACCCTCACCAGTCGCCTCTAGTTGATAGTGTCAACCAAAAAACTCGCGGAAAACTCCGAGTTCCCGGTGCAGAAGATAACGAGCTGCTTCGCCACCACCGGGTACTCGTCGTACTCCCTCTTATCCAAGCACACAAAGTCTCGAAAGCTCTCCAGCATCGACGGCTCAAGCAGCCGCTGCAGCTGACCATCGCCACGATCAAACACCGCCCTGGCAGCTTTCTCGAGCTCCCCCACGCTTGGAATGCCGTCGCCATGCTTGACAGCCCAAACTTTCCACTCGTTGTCCAGCCTCTCTGTGGGGGAAAGCTTGTAGAACTGCCCAGCTCTCACCACCATCCGGCGCAAGAAGCGATCCTCTCCAGCCGCCGCCGCCGCATTGATCTTGGCATACGCAGTGACATCGCAGACAAACGAGTCCAGCACGGACGTGGGCATTTGTAGAAGTCTGCAACACCGTGTCTGCAGGGGCTAGCGGCCGAAAGCTCTCCTCTATGAGCACGCCCAGCGCCCGCAAGCTTTGCTCGCAGGAGATGTACTTGTAGAACCGGTGGCGTTGGCGGTGACAAAGACGACGCGCTCCTTCGGTGTGGCTAGCCCGTCTCTGGCACAAACACTGGAGAGATTCCACCACAGTCCTCCTGGAAAAAGTCCCTGAACTATTGTTCTAGACAAATTTGTTACTTCCAAAAACTTACAGTTTGGTATGAAAGGCTCCACCTTGACGTCGTCTTTCACGGACACGAAGCCATACCTGGGATTGCAGGGGAGCATGCCTTTGATCCGGATCTTGGCGACCTGGGTGTAGTGCAAGAAACCTTTTAGCCTTTGCGCTACTGGGTCTCGCTTGCGCAAGGCGGCGGCGGCGATCCTGGCGATTGCGGATGCGTCGCAGATGTAGGCATCGCGAATGAATAAAACAGTTCTGCTGCTCCAGAAGTCTGTAGGGCATTCGGTACGAAGAAAGACCTCTCGCCGCACATCGCGTTGCTTTTCCATATCCTAGCAATTCTCGAGTGCGGGAAACACATTTGGAATCGTGCGCCCTGAGCCTTTGCTTGGTGACGAAATCACGCGCACCAAAGCAGCAACAGCAAATTCTCCCCAAAAAGTTGATGAATTGCACTTGATTTGCTTAATAGTAGTATTATTTTTAATTAATATTTTTAATTTGCTTTTAAGCAAATCTGTCGGTATTTAGAATATGTTTAAATATTTCAGAATATTCTACCATCTAACGGTTGTTATTTATTTAGATTAATCTTGTATTTATAATTTATAAACTTTCTTAACCATTTTAATATATTCTGTTTTATTCTATCATCTAATGGTTGATATGAAATATTGTGTTTATAAATTACAAACATGCTTATTAAATATTCTAATTGATCAATATGTTTATAATCTATAAATCAAGATTAATCTTATTACATGCAAACCTGAGCAAAGGTTTCATATCAACCATTAGATGGTAGAATAAACAAGAATATATTAAAAAGCGTTTAAGAAATTTTATAAATTATAAATACAAAATTAATCTAAATGAATAATAATTGTTAAATGGTAAATATATTCATTACCACCTCAATCCCCTTGGTTTTGCTTTTAAGTAAACCAAAAATTGTTCAACCAACCTCAGTTCAAGAGATTGCACGAGAAGTAAGACAAATTCATGAAGAAGATCATCTAAGAACACACAATATCAATGTAAATTTTATTACCAAAAGATTCTAAAATAAATTCAAAAGATTCTATTGTAACTAACTGGAACCCTACAAACGGTCAAGAAGCAATGTGGCAGCGCGATGGAGCTCGGGAGCTGGATTCTTTTCGACTACTCCTTGGCGATCACTTCGCTAGGAGCTCCGGATTCTCGCGCATGAAGATCGGCAGGGCCTGTCTAGGGTTTGATCCAGCTCGTTGAAGGATGTGATCGAGGTAAGTTCTTGGTGAGTAGTCGCGGATTGATGGAGCTATCCTCTTAGGCGCGAATGGAGGTGGATCAGCAGGGCCAGAGATCTTCGTCCGGTGGTCTGCCGCTCAGCTTCTACATCCGCAGCGCGAGATTGTGCCTGAAAAAGGCGACGCTAGCTCGGCTCCAGCCAAATTCTCCCGAGAGCAGCGGTGGCAGCGAGGAGGAGCTCCAGCATTTGAGAAGGTTTGAAGCTCTGGTAGCGTGCGCTTTGCCGGCACACAAGGAGTATTGCGAGAGACGTGGTGACAAGGCGGTGAGAGAGCTCCATGTTGGATTGGTAGAGGCACGGCGAAGAATCCAGGAGCTCTTGGAGGGCGGTGGAGAGAAATCTGGGAAGTCACAGTCACAGTCACAGTCACAGAAGAAGAAGGCTGTATCATCGTCAACATCGCCGACGAAGAAAGCAGCGTCTCCAAAGCGAGCGGCTTCTCCGACCAAGAAGGCTGGATCTCCGAAAAAGCTCGCTGGTTCTTCTCCGAAGAAATCCGGGCCTGGCTCTCCGAGAAAGTCGTCGTCCTCGTGGAGAGCTCCGAGCCGGCCCAAGGCAGCAACCACGGTGGAGAAGAAACTCTCGCGGCCAGTTAAGTCGCCTCGAGCGACATCACTGCTCAAGCCTCAGCAGCAAGCTTCGAAGAAAACCAACGCTGCGAAGCGGGCAGAGTCGCCGGGGAAGAGGAGGCCTGGCTCTCCAAAGAAGAAGACTGATCACTCGCCACCATCGCCACCATCGCCACCAGGTGAAAATGGTGGTAAGCTAGAGTCCGAGGAGACTGAGGCCACCGTGGATGTTTCGAAACTCAGGAAGAGGCCCAAGGGAACGGCCTTGAAGGATTGGGAGGCGAAGCTACACGATGTCTACACGTTTGCTGACGAGAAGCCGCCGGTTTACTACTTGCCGAAGAAACTACCGAGTGCTCTTCAGAAAAATCGAAGAACGGTTGAGAGCAGTGAGTCTGGGACTGCTCCTCCTGCGAGGCTTCCAGCTTCTGGAGTCCGGGACTCGACGCGTTCTTTGCCGACAGGTACTACACTCTTCCATTCAAGTTTTGTTGCCTTTTAACGTGGGATTGGATCCAGGAAAGTCGGATAAACTCTTCAGTGATGCCGCGGATCAGAGGAAAGAAAGATCCGGCCTGTTTGACCTCCGAAAGAGTTATGACGATATTGGCAGCGCACGCCGTGATCGTCACAAGCTCTTAGATGATACTGACGAGTACTACAGAAGCAGGACAGAGGAGTCCGAGCCAGTCTTGCAAAGAAGCCGCAGGAACTCGGGGTTGAAAAGAGGTTTTTTGGACAGAGGATCAGGGAATACAAGAGAAGATAGAGTCTGGGACAACTTCGTGTATCAGAAAAGCCAGAAGCTGGACGATCGAGCTCCTCCAGGGAAGGTTTCCGATGATAAGTCACTCTCGTTGTCGTACGATGGTGCTGACACTTCAGAGAGTCGCAGTGTTCTTTACGATGAGAGCAAGAATGGGAACGTCAAGATTGTTAGAGATCTCCGAGGCTCGCTGGATGGTTTTAGAATACGTCTCGAGGAAGAAGGGAAAAGATGGCGGGGACGAGTTAATGCGTTGGAGAAAGAGATAGAGTTTTTGAGGGATGAGACCGAAGGCGATCTTGTGGTTCTTCGGCGGAACGTACAGGAGGAAGCCAAGAAGCGCGAGAATTTCTCGCACAAGCTGGTGAATTCGGTGGATGCCCTTGAGGAGAGTATAGTGAAGGACATGGATGGGCTAAGAGTGGAGATTTCGAAGAAAGGTGACAGGCACTGGATGGAAAATGTGATCAAGGAGACAGTGGAGAAGTGTCTCTCTGACAGGACGGAGACGAAAGAGAAGCCTTTGAAAGACGAGCTCCGTCTTCTAAAGGCGGAGGTGGAGCTACTTTCGAAAGGAAGGGTGGAGCTCGAGAGTCACTTTGAGCAGATCGCTCAAATCGTGGAGAACGACAGGGAAACCATGAGCACGGAGCAGATAAACATCAGGACCGAGAATGGCTACTTGAGGAAACAGCTCCAGAGCATGAAGAAGGAGGGACTTCAGGCAAGAGTGGAGGCGGACGAGTTTCGAAAAGGATGTGAGTCGGACATGGACGAGCTAAAGCACGTCCTCGGCAAGCTCAAGGACGAAGCCATGCAGATGAAGATCGACTTCCAAGGCTTGAAAGGCCTGGAGGAGACGTTCAAAGTCGACAGGGGGAGCATGAGAAGATCGGCTGACAGGATCCGGGACGAGGCCTCGCAGGAGAAGATGCTGATCATGGACCGAGTCGAGAATCTGTCCAAGCTCTACCTCGGCGGCCTGGACGAGGTGAGAATGGACGTGTTGAATGTCAAGATCAAGTGCCAGGACAAGGTGGAGGAACTGGAGGACCAGCTGAGGGAATTCAGGCAGAGGCAGGAGAGCGTTCCGTGCTCTCGATCTTCTTCCAGAGGAGCCGCGAGTCTCGAGGAGGTTGAGTCAAGGATGGCTCACTTGGAGAGCAAACAGGAGCTCATGCATATGGCCGGGCTGGAGGAGTCGAGGATGGCGCTGTTCAACCTCGACATGAAGTGCCAGGACAAGATCGAGGCGATCGAGCATCAGCTGAAAGAAGTGAGGCGACGCTCGATAGATTCTCCCGCCGCAAGCCGGAACACTTCCAGGGACATCATGATCGACGACTTGGAGTCGAGGCTATCGAGCATGGAAAGGAAGCAGGACACGCACAGATATATGCTCGAGGACGCGGTGGCGATCGCCGAGAAGGAGAAACGTTTAGCATCGGCTGCAGCGTCGGACGCAGCAGCAGCAGCGATCAAGGCCGAGGAAGCTCTCTCGGAAGTTTTGAAGCACTCCGACGATTCACTCACGAGCAGCAGATACAGGCGGACTGGGAGACTCCAGGAGAGCCTGGCGATGGAGAGGGACTCGTTCTCGGTGGCGGCGTGCGAGCTCAAGAGAACAAGCATCGACATGACGAGAGAGACCGAGTCGGCGGTTGCGGCAGCCGCAGAGGCCAAACGAAGAGCCGAGGAGCTCCAGGAGCGGCTCAGGGACGCCGTGTGTGAAGTTGATAGGCAGAGGAGCATGGCTGCCGAGTTTGCTGCCAAGGCGTCGTCGGTTTCGTCCGAGGCTCGCGACTTGCTAGACGAGATGGCGGGCATGAGGAAAACTCTGGCCGAGAACACCAGCAGCGATCATATGGACAGCGACCGGACGCACGAAACCGCGAAGCTCTTGACGGACTTGGAGAAGAGGATGGACGCGCTGGAGCAGTCGAGTAGAAGCAAGAGCGCCGCGCCTGTGGAGAAGGAAAAGGTGGCGAAGTCGCAAGTGAAAGGAAAGCTCTCGAGCACGACCAAGAGAAGGGTGGAGAACGAAGAACTCCGGCTGGATACGAGAGTCACAAGCTTGGAAAGCCATCTAGAACACGTAGCCTCTGCGACGTACGCAAACATCAGGTACGAGAAAGAACAATCTTCTCTATTTCTTTGCAAGAATCTCACAAGCTCTTCGAACAGGATGCTCGACACGAAAGTGGAGCACGTAAGCGTCAGCGCTCAGTCGGCGCTGGAGGGCGCCTCGGTCGCGGAGAGGAAATGCGGAGCGCTCGGGGCGGAGCTCGTCAAAGTGTTCCGGGTGCTAGCGTCGTTCAAGAAGGACAACTCCGAGAGGCAATCCAGTATCACCAAGTCCAAGGAATCCAGCAGCCCCGTGCGTCGTCCACATTTTGCGTGCGACTCGTGCAAGCGAGCAGCGTCCACCATCCTCCACGGCTCGCTCGAGTTCCTGCCATCCTCCGAAGTGGTCAAGGCGAGAGAAGTGAAGAAGACGAACCTGAGGCTGTCGACGTCGGATTCCAAGTCTTTGGAGATGGCCGTGAGGGAAGAAGCCGACGAGTGCCTGGTCCACGGGAGGAAGATCCAAGAGAGGATAGCAAAGGTGGAGGAGAGTATACAAAACTGTGGATCGACGAGGAGGAGCTGGGGGACGAGCGTTGCGACGCTTCTGGCCGAGGAAGATGGAAGCAAAGGATTGGAAGACATGAACTCGTGGGGTATAAGCTCGCGGGGGATTTGCGTGAAGCAGGAGCCGGAACTTTGCTAGAGTCGGGAGCTTCTTTTTTCTTGTTCTTCCACCCAATTTTGGTGGTTCTTTCTTCTTCCAAGTGTACAGTGATGCAAAAACAATAGCCAGTTAACCAGTTTCTATGAAAACATGCCTTTGAAGTACTCGGCGTACTCGTCTTTGTCTCGCTCCTCGGATGGGCCTGTGCGAGGATGGGGGATTGGAAAAATAGAAAGAACTCGTGCGTACCTTGAGCAACGTTTTGATCAGCACCGCGAGGAGCTCTTCCGGGAGTTTCTTCCTCTTCTGAAACTCTGCAAGGACAATGTATCTTATTCACTAGCTATTGAAGAGCGAGCAGTGTTCTCACCTTCTTTTCTTCTTGGTTTCTTCTTTCTGCTCCTTTCTCATCTGCCGCTTCTTCTCCTTCTCCTTTTTGTAGTTAAGCTTGTACGCACAGCTGAGCACACGAAGTGCACTCTTTAGCTGGTATCAAAAGATTAAAAACCATCTTAGCTTACCCCGGACAGAGCCGCAATTTTACCAGTGCTTGCTTGCTTTCACCAGCTTCCTTGTAGACAAAATTCACCTGCCAAACAAATGGTCGATATCCAGAAAACTAGAGGACCAGAAAACCAACAGCAAAGTGTGATCGGATCAAGCACAATGACAAATCCCAAGAAGGCTGCTACCTAAAGGTCTCCAAAAGGTGAGCTAGACGTGCCTCATAGCTGCAAAGCTCCTCCTTAGCATTGCAATCCTTGTTTCCACAGATAAACTGGCCTGGATAGTACAAAATGAAGATATTAGCTAAACAAGGTTCTACCTCGAACGTTTGCTTACCTTTCCCAGCGATGACTTCTTTCTCAGTCCGCCACCTCAAGCCCACCTGTGATTGTAGAGCTGTGTTATTTTTTTTTCTTGGCAAGAGAAGTAAAACAAACCTTGCTTTCTTTGTAGCGGGACATGTCTGCTAAACAATATCTAAGGCAATGGTCACGATTAGACAGCGAAAACGCATTCAGCAAACATACTCCTTGAAAAGCTTGTCATAGTAGCGTTTAGCAAGCCGCTGCTCCCAGCTTCTTTCCGAATCGTCTTCTTCCGAGCGTATGAATCTACAGGGCATGGAAGCAAGCAACAGTGAGTTCTGATACGTGCACTGAAAAGAAAAATGTGAAGAGACCTGTAAGTTTCTCGCAAAGTGTCTGCATCGGTTTTTATCGGCCGGATGGGCTGCTGCGATGGAGCTCCATAATGGTGCACTGTTTTGCAAAAGCAAGAGAATTAAACACTAAGAAAAATTGACAAGAACAGAATTTTCGGAGATGTGTAGCCCTCTGCCAAAACAATATTGGCGAGCGTTGTTCCAACTCCAGTGACCAAGTGTTGAGATGAGAAGAACAACAAGAGCTCACAGCTCAGGAGCTCTTTCTAAAGTATCTCTCATCTAACTCTCTCGTAAAACTTCACGAGAAGAGCCAGCGCAAGCATAGTTCTCACATTGAAAAACATTCGCAAGTATAGCTCTATCGAAATTTATATCACAAGCACATCTACAGAGGAAGAAAAAAATCGAGACATTCTAGCACGAGAAAGGAAAAAAGAAATCCCAAGAACATATCATAATCCCTATCGAAATTTAAATCACAAGCACATCACTATACGAAGGAAGAAAACAATCGAGGGACTCTAGCACGAGCAAGGAAAAAAATTCCCAAGAACATACCATAATCGCGCATGAACTTCTTGTGCCGCTCGTAAGCATTCAATCCCTTGATGTATGAATCGAAGTGCCTAGCAAAGAATGCCGGAATAGATCAAGGAAACAAGCAAGATAAGATCGAGCTCACTGCTTTCGTTGCTGGCGAGCGAAAACCTCCTCCTGGAGTGCGCCGAAGGAAGCCATGACGATCGCGCTCGATAATCTAGGGCAAAGGAAAATAAAGCCCTAAAAAACAGAGTAATTTGGCTATGGCCGATGATGGGCACCATCGACCACAAGGATGGTCTTCTTTCACGAAAACGATGTACGGCATGGCCATCGACCAGGCTGCCATAGATCCATTCCCGCCTCTAGGTACGGCACATTCTAGGGCGAGCCAAGCAGAGGAGATTCCAGCGAGCTACGCCAGCGCTGTGGATCCTTTCAATCGCGGGAGCGATGGAGAATCCGCGCCACTGCGCCAGAAAGAGCTTGCGGTGGGAGATTTGCAGGGCGCGGCTGCGAGCTCCTCCAGCTCCACCAGCGATTTGGCTATGGCGTCGAGTAGCGGCGATTCTTACCATCAGCTTCGCAAGGATGCGATCAAAGCGTCAAGGTAGAGCGATGCCGCTTCTAGATTCTGGATCGATCGACTCGAAATATTTTGATATGTTCTTGGATTGGATCGAGCAGGCTGATGAGCCGGCACGCGCGATCCGCCGCCACTGCATTCCAGCGCGGCGATCATCACAGGGCCAAGGAGCTGTCACGGCAGAGCCGGCAAGAACGCGCGCTCGCAGAGAAGCTCAACTTGGAGGCCGCGGCGGAGATCATGAAACTCAGGAACCAGGAGGCCGCGCTTCCGGCAGGGACGATCGATTTGCACGGCCTCCATGTTCGCGAGGCAGTGGCTGTTCTCCAGCAAAGGCTAGCGGAGCTCGAGGATCAAATCTCTTCCTCCTTACACAGGAGCCATCTCACAGTCATCACAGGTAAGTTACTTCTTTCTAATAGCTTGTTCGTTCTCTTGCATCCATTGATCTTTCTTTTTCGTTCTCTCTCTCTTTTCCAGGAACTGGATCGCACAGTCGCGATGGGCCTGCGATTCCCACTGCCGTGACCAACTTTCTCATCACTAACAAGTATCACCCTCGCACCACACCAGCTCTTTGTATCTTTTCACACCTTTTCTCATCTCACAGCTACAGATACACGGAGCCACGACCCGGAATGATCTCCGTGCAACTAAAAATAAGGAAAGAGATTCTCTGAAGTTTCTTAACTTACCATGTACACTTCCAGCATCATCGCGACTTGTATACATACGTAATCGATTTTCTCAGGCAAGCTGATTTTTTTTTCTCATTTTTTGATTTTTGTCTTCATAGCGCAAGTATCTCAGTCTCGTTTCTCTTCATTCTTTGACGCTTTTCTTCTTCTCAGAACGAAAAGAAAGAGCTTCACTAACATTCAGCTAGTTCAACATTATTCGTAATCTAGTTTCTCAGGTAAGCTGAACTTCTTCCTCCACCCGCAGATTATCATCTCGTCGGGAGAGTCCGTGTGGATAAAGCTTGGACGAGCTTCCATAAGCTGTGAAGATTGATCGAACCAATCCAGTTAAAGCCTTGCAAGTCCCGTGAGTTTTTCTTGGTGAAAAGTTCTACAAACCTCTATATACTTGTGAAGTGCTTCAAGCTTTTCAGGGAAAGCGAATCCCATAATCTGGCCCAGTGCTACTCGAGCGTGTCGGAGCTTCGGTGCTACTGTGAAATCCGAGTCTGTTGGTTTTTCTCCAGCAATGTACGGACCCTTTCACCACTCGATCCATGTAAGTGTTCCCAAAAGATTTGATTTCATCAACTTCCTACTTACATGCTTTTGCAGGTGCTGATTAAACGATAGGAGTTCTTTTATCAGATCCTGTTTGGCTGGATGAGCTTGGTCTTTGGACTTGAGCCACTCCACGAACCTAGGAAAGATTCCCGATCCTCTGCGAGAAGAGAAAATATGCGGTGAGAATGTGTCATTGTGGCAGTCGAACTTACACGTCTTTAAACTCGTCCGGAGTCTTTAGAGCAGGATTTGGAAACTTGGCCTCCAAGTGCTCGAAGATCCTCTCCGAGTCTTGGATCCATTCGGAGCCATCTCGCAAAACGGGCATAAGACCCGAGGGGTTCTTCTCCATGAACCTGTTAGCCACGACGATCTAACTAAACAAGGTGAAGCTGCAAATTCTAGTGTACCATGCAGGCTTGTCAGGACCTTCTTGAATGTACGTGGCTTTGTAAGGCAGCCTCTTCTCTGGTAAGAAGAAGAAAAACCAAGCCTGTTTATATCTCTTCTCCTTCGATGCTTACCTTCCAACTCCATGTAGATTCGCTGCGAGAAGGGGCCTGGAATCCATCAAAAACGATCGAGAACTGAGTAAGTATCAAATTCATCGAAGAGCTTACAATCGCCTCGCTGTGTGCTAGGATTCCCAGTTCCAGTGGCGGCCTTGCCGAAAACTTCGAGATCCACTCCAGCAACGACATGGCTCTGCGATGGCGGCTTGAGCGCATCGCCGTCAGCTCTATTCACCTCCTGGACTCTGGAAAAACGCGACGAATCTTGAGCGAGCTCGCGGAGAAAGAGATAAAACTCTCGAGCTTTTGGTACCTGGATGGCTCGGGGTGATACATTCTTCCAAGAACTCCGGAAGTTCTCACGCCAAGAAATCTAATTAATTAGAGTTAAAGTTAAATAAGTAATAATTAGTTTTGAAATCAATCAAAACCTTAATTAATCGTTTGCTGCTAAACACCTTTGTTAGCTACAAACTAGGAGTTAGGGTTCTTTCCTTGCTAGGGTTTCCTCCATGGCGCACTGAGGTGGGGAGAGCTCTAGGTAGGGAATCGCGCGCTGGCTATGGCGGCCAATCAGAATGTGGATCTTAGCAGCGAGGTGCTGCGATTGATGCAGGCGACCGCGTCGATGAATGCCGCCATGAGCGCGCAGCAGCAGCCCTCGCCGTCGGCGGCCGCGGTCCAGGCCATCGCCAAGCAGCAGTTCCAATTCCAGCAGGCGCTCATGGTCCAGCAGATGATGGCATCGCAGCAAGCCGCCGTCCGCGCCGCCAATCTCAAGGTCGCCTCGGACCTTGCGGTTGCTCGAGCGGCATTGATCAGCAAGCAGCTCAAATCCGACGACCCTAGCGCTGGCGATGAGGAAGAGAAAGCCGCAGATGCGAGCAAATCCAAGTAAGCTCTCTCTCCCTCTCTCGATTTTTCCTTCCTTTGTTCTTCGAGGACTAACCGGGGAAAGAAATTTTTTGTTTCCACAGGCAATCTCCAGATTCGTTTAGAAGTTCCAGATCGAGGTCTCGGTCTCCTGCTCGGCACCACCACCGAAGAAACTCGCCGCCGCCTCGTCACAGGCGACGATCACTCTCGGGTTCTCCAGTGAGGTACCGAAGCGAGCGTTTCGGAAGGAGTGGTCGCTACCGCGGTAGTGATCGAAGGTACTCGTATCATAGAGGTGGTGGCGAGGATCACTACAGGGGCAGTCGTTCTTCGTATAGACCATCCAGGGACAGGGACTATAACCAGCGGGCTTCTACGTCCCACCGGCGGTCCCGGAGGAGTGTGTCGCCATCGCACAGGAGAGACGATGGCAAGAGGCGGAGGCACCGTTCTGTGAGCCCAGAGGATCGCAAAAGTCCTCCCTTGAAAGACAAAGAAGAGGTGGAGAACAATGAGAGAAAGCCCGACTCTCCTCGAAAGGACCCAGTGACTTGCGATGAGACGATCGGGAACGAAGAACTCCAAGGGAAAGTGGACGATGATCCGAAAGTGGTAGCAAGCACAGGAGGTCCTCCTGACGAGGAAACGATGGCTTCTCCAGAGGTAAGTTTGAGGTCTCCTTTCCTTCCAAAGTCTGCTGACCGGCACAGAGGAAGCAATGAGAGAGCGGAGATGGTTTGCGAAGAGCCAGATAGAACTCCGCCACCACCACCACCAGCGGAACTACACGGTAGTGGTGATGGTCTAGAGAAGCAAGAGAGCCGGAAACACCAGCGAGACGATGGAAAGCATAAAGACGATGGAAACGAAAGGGAACAAAAGAAGAAGCACAGGAATGGTAGCTCGGCGTCACAGGACGGATCCAGCAAGCGACGAAGGCCAAAGTCTACTCCGGTTTCCAGCTCTACTTCCGATGGCTGATCGAAAATCTCCAGAAGGCTTCGTCCGCCGATGATCGAACGAGTGGCTGTATGGAGGTAAGTTCCCTGGCGATTTTTTGTGATCTTGCGGAGCGTCGTCTCCTCGTACAGGTCGCTCGTCACCACCTCCTTTGTACATGAAAAACCCAAGCTAAGTGGAGTAGTATGAATCGTTTCGTCTGCCAGAGACGCGAGCTTTAGCTGGCAATGTACCGAGATTTATATGAAACGGTGGTTCATGTTCTGTGTATCACCAGAACTCTCAAACCAGAACGAAATAGTAACGGGACTTTGAACGAAGCAACATAGGCTTACGTGACTAGGATCTCGTGTCGTGTGGTTTGGACGTGGCTTCTCCTCCTTGTCTGGTACTGCTACCGCAAGTGTTCTCTGTGTCGAGGGGAGCTGGAGCTGGAGCTGGAACTTCCGCGCTAGCATCTCCTCCTCCTCTTTCGTCACTGTCCTCCTCGGACTTGCTAGCTGACGTTCTATAGCTCGATTCAACCGGTTCTTTACTTTGCTGCTCCGCATCGTTCTTCGGAACCTTGATCTCGAGCAGTCGCTCCACCGGGCACCTACAAATCGGGCAGCGGTTCGTCTGGAACCTCAGCACTTTGGCGCACTCGCTACACATACACTGCAAACGAGAGAGAGAGAGAGAGAGAAAAAAAAAAACTATGAGCGATGAAAACCAGAAATATATAGCCAGCCTACCATGTGTCTGCAAGGAAGAACTGTCGTGTCCCTGGGCTCGGACATGCAAATCACGCATTCTTTTCCCGAGTCGTCAAAGTTGGCCCCGCTGCCACCACCGCTATTCTCGATCCCGTAAATCTCCTGGAGCTCGTACCGCACACCCTCCACCCAGATGATCTGCTTGATCACCCGGACACCATACTCTCCACCATCTTTGCGCTCCACAACAGCATGAGTCGTCTGGGAATGGACCCATTTCGGCAGAGGAGCACCCAGCGGCTCCGTGTCTCGGGATGGAGCATCAGCCGGTGGATCTCTGGAATAAGTCTCGGCTCGCACAACGAGGGCATAAGTTTCGTCCTGTCCCTCCTGAGCTAAGTCCTCGTCCTCGAAAAGAGACAAGTCTATCCCTGTTCCAGGTGCTTGCCGGAATTTTTGTCCCAGACCTTTGTCAAAGGGGACCTTGACAGGATCAAACACTTGCGGCTTCATGGGTGTCAAGCTGCAATTCACACCTTCCTTGGCCACAAAAAAAATACATATACTGCATAGCAAACACAAACAAAGTTAGCAAAGTGATACCAAAACGAAGTTTCTAAAGAAGAAAAGAACAAGAGCTTTTACTTACTTGCCAGGAACCGTGGCATCGAACGAGAAAGCTACGAGATAAAAACCCGGATTTTCCTCGTCCTTCTCGATTCTCAAGGTGGCCTTGCGGAGATTGACGTCGTTGCGAATCGTGTTTGCTTTCTGGTGATGGGCGACTGGGATAGCGGCGGCGGCGGTGGCGCTGCCAGGAATTTGAGGAGAAACTCCCACCGGACTCACGGGACGATAGCCTGGAGGAGGAACGTTCATCATGTACTGCCCATTGCTGGGCATGAATCCCTGCTGGTAGATTTGCGGGCCCATGGCTGCTGGAAGAGGTCCATGGTAGCTGGGAGAATAGAAATATGGCCCCAGCGATGCCGGGCCAGAGCTTCCAGCGATCGGCAGGACGCCGCCATGCGGAGGAGATCCTACCCTGGGATGCGGTTGCTGCTGCTGCTGAGAGCTGCGAGAATTCCTCCGGTTGCTGGGACCGTTCCCCATCGAGGAAGATTTCTTTGCTTCTTCACGACGCTCGCGCTTGATCCTCCTCCTCAGCTGCAGCGCCGATCGCCGCGGCGAGCTCCATCGCTCTCCTCCACGAACCCTATATTTCGGGAGTACGATGGCGATCGCGTGCGATCCAGCGATGGCGACGAGAGAGTAGCGAGGGAGGGCGGCATGCGCCGCGACGAGGAGCTCCCGCTGGAAGGATGGATCGATCGTGGAAACCCTAATCTGGCGAAATGAAGAGACTGAGACGAAAGGCCGCAATGTGGCGATACAACATTGTAAATTCCATGCAAACATTCAAAGAATACAAAGATGCCGCCACTTACGACTAACAGAATCTGCGTTATACATCTAAAGAACATTCCGTGAAACTAACAGAATATCTCTCTCTTTCGGGAAGGTCTTTCTACTTCTAGGGTTCTTGGGCGAAATGGCTATGGCGCTGTGCGCGAGATTCATTCGCAGTTCAAGGGCGTCCACGCGCAGCATCTCCACTGCGCTGGATCTGGATCACACCTCCAAATGGATGCACGTAAGTGTGGCTACATTCGATTCTCTCGATTCTCCCCTGAGATTCTTCTATGGAAATCTGATAGAACAAGGAGAAGAAATCCCCGATGCAACTCATCAGCGAGGTACCACCGATTGTTGTCCACGATCGAATCGTAGCTTGCATAGGAGGTATAATCTCGCGGCACCGCGATAGAATTCTTCCAGTTTTCTCATGGATTCGTGCGTTCTTCCAGGGAATAATTTAGCGCTAGGGCATCCGGTGGAGTTTATTTGCTTGGATCTTCCACATCCCCAAGTGTGTAAATACTGTGGCCTTAGATATGTACAAGACCATCACCACTAGTAACAACGGGTAAAAGGGAAATAACCATGATTCTTTGGATATACTTTTTCCGTCAGTTAGCGATTCTGACAGGGCGGGATATTCTGTGAAGGTGAGGCGTGGAGGCATCCAGGCCCGTCATCTTCTCACTGTCGTGTCATCCATTATCAAGCCATCGACGAATGACACGCGGCCACGTTACTGCGCAGGGATTTGCTATGGAGTTTTTTGAGCAGCTTGGCGCCGAGAGCTCGGGAGCAAGGCGCTAGGGTTCTTGGGGAAATCTCGCGACGCGCGCTCGATCGGTAAGCCACTCCCGGACGCCTAGCCGTGGAAATTCTCAGGAAAATCGCGGCAATGCGCGATGGATGAGCCACATCTGGCGAGGATTATCGCGTGAAACCGGTGAGTGAGGCAGGGATTTCGTCGCCGCTGGGCATGGAGCAGCACCAGGCCACGGCGCCGGCCATCGGGCAGCCGATGCAAGCGGGATTTCCAGCGCCGCCGGGCGGGGGAGCGCCAGGAACTCCCATGGCGGCTGGTCAGGTTCCAGGAGCAGCGCAGTCGGCCGTGGCATTCCAGCAAGCGCTAGGTTACCAGCAAATGCAGCAGCAGCACCAGCAGCAGCTCCAGCAATTCTGGCAGGGACAGATGCAAGAAATCGAGCAAGTGAACGATTTCAAGAACCACCAGCTTCCACTGGCCCGGATCAAGAAGATCATGAAGGCCGACGAGGACGTGAGGATGATCTCGGCGGAGGCACCAGTGCTCTTCGCAAAGGCGTGCGAGATGTTCATCCTGGAGCTCACGCTGCGCTCCTGGATCCACACCGAGGAGAACAAGCGGCGGACGCTGCAGAAGAACGACATCGCCGCGGCGATCACTCGCACGGACATCTTCGACTTTCTGGTGGATATAGTTCCCAGGGACGAGCTCAAGGAGGAGACTCTGGGAGTGACTCGAGCAGCCATGCCGGTTGGGCCTCCAGGGGATCCAATGCAGTACCCGGGGTTGTACTACGTGCCTCCAGCGGCGCAGGGACAGGCGGCGGCGGGGGCGTCGCCGCTTGGATCGCCGGTGGTGGGAAGACCAGCAATGCCAGTTGATCCAGCGATGTTTTCTCAGCAGCGGCAGCAGGGAATTCCTGGTCCTTACATGACCCAGCAGCAAATGTGGCCGCAGCAACCAGCGACCTCGAATTCGTCCGGGGCTCCGGCATCAAGCTCCTAGAATCCACCAAGTAAGCTCCATCCTTCCTCTCTCGTTCTTCTCTTTGTAAGTTTCTCGCCATTCTTCTCTTTGTAAGTTTCTCGCCATTCTTCTCTTTGTAAGTTCTTCCTTTCTCTTCGAAGTTCTCCATGGAACTTTTCATATCTCTTTGTGAGGTTTTCTTTCGTTCTTTTGTCTCGACATTCTTTTCTAGTCTCTATCGTTTTATCGTTCGTTTTTCTCCCAATCTCTCCATACGTGTTCTTCCTTTAAGTTCTCGATTATCCCATGGAAGTTCTCATCTCTCCTCTCTTGGATTGACAAATGGTGGCGGGCAGGCTATGAACAAAACCGATGCTAACCAAAGCCAATTGGCAATAACTCTAAGACAATGATATAAACTTCTCTAATACCATACTCCATTTTAAATTTGCCATTGGCGGGCGCTAGGGTTTTAGCAAAGAGGAGCGGCGCCTTGGATCGGTGAGTGTCTGTCTCTTGCGCCTCGATCGCAATGGCGCTGCGCGATTAGCCGCAAGCGCTGGGGTTTTAGCTAGATCTTGGCGCCGCTGTGAGATTTTCGAGCATTCGAAGTCCCGCCTTCTACTGCTCTTGAGAGATTTTAGTCCCTTTTGAGAGATTTCTCGAGCCTCGTGACGAAATTTTCTTTTGACCTTAGTGGATGGCTAGCTCTTTGTTTCACTAGCTTCGTTTACACGTAGATGAGCTAAAGTTCTCGGTCTTTTGGAAATTTCTACAGCCTCGTGCCGAGAAATTTCGTTTTGAGCTTTCCATGGCTAGCTCTTTCTTGCTTCTTTTTCGTTCTTCGCATGAAGACGAGCTAAAAGATCTCGGTCTTAGGACTAGTGCTTTTCCCTTCTTGCTGCATTTTCATTTTAAGACAGCACTTTCCCAGTGTAAGTCTAGAGTTTGTCGACCATTAAAGGTGAGGTAGAGCTCTCGCTGTGCATGGGTTTTGTTTCATCCTGTTCGCTGCGCTCCATAACTGTACTTTGCTTTTGCAAGCAGATCGGCTTCTGGGAATATTGGCGCTGGTAGTGGTCCCGAAAAGGCTGCGGATATCTCAATCAGGTTTGGGTGGTGGTGAGTGTGGCTCTCTCGATTTGATATTTCTGGAGAGCGATAGCTTGAAAGTTGGTCCTTCCTGGCTGGAGGGGCATTTCTCCAATTCTCCCCAGCTTTATGCTGTGTGTTTCTCTTTTTGTTTTCTTGCGATTAACCATATGCAGCAGCCTTTCCAGGCGTTGCAGATTGAGTGCATTTGCCTCGATTCTTCTTTGCTTGAAGCATATCTACTGGGTGATTGTAGAAGATACAACTACTAATGTCTCATGACATGTATCTGGCAGGAACTTATTACAGCGACGACTGCTGGTGGCTCTGGCAACAAGCGCGGGCGACATGGTGTCGCAGCTGCAACTCTGCAGGGATTACTAATGTGGCAAACAGATAAGTAGCGAAGCGGCATCTCTTGCTTGCTCCATTCCATTTTACGTCCAGTCTTTATGGGCACAGCGTGATGTTTACGTCTTTGGTACTACTCTCTGTCTATCTGAAGTCACCAAAGTCTTTTTTTTTTCTTTTTTCTGAAGTGTTTGGGTGGGAAGCAAGAATAAAGGACAAGGACTAGTTGTGCTTTAGCCATCCTTGTTGGGGGTCTGTCTATGTCTAAACTTGTGGTTTAAGTGGTCCGGTGTGCTACTTGAACTTTGGATTTTAAGTGGTCCTGTGTGCTACTTGGGCTTTGGACTCTACTGATTTGAGATGGTGTTGGTCTTTGCAGTAAAAGTTGGCTGGTCTAAAGGTGCTCTGCCATGTTTGTCGTTTTTTTTTGCAAATTTTTCTCTCACGTTTTTTAGTTTTTTTCTTTTTCTATTTATCTCATTGCTGCATTCTGTCTGAATGTTCTTCATGTAAACGCACTTTTCTAACTTGAGGCTCGTCCGGCCGCGTCATTCATTCTGGCGCAAATTAAAGATACCAGGTCATTGGGCTTTTGCCGCTCCGCTTCCTCTTCTTGAAATATGCTGCATACGTACGCATATCGTAATGCTTGTTTTACAAGTGGACCTGCCTGTTAAGGGATGAACCGTATGCCATGCGTGTTGCTAGCTTCCTTTCTTAGTGGCTTTGCTAAAAGCGTGGTTCAGGTGCACGATGTCCGAAAGGTTGGACCGTGAACCAGCGCTTAAACAGTTCATAATGGTGTTACGGAGGACACAGCAAAAGGGCCATCCTGTGAGGCAAGGCAAGCATTATTTCTTTTCTTCTTGAAACGAGGCAAGTAAATTCTGTATTCCAGTAACTGGATCCTGTTCAAGTTTATGAACTGATCCTAAAGGTAAGATTCATGCTATAAAGGAAGGAACTTCCAATTTAGTGCTTTCTTTCCGCGGCTGTGACTAACTTTTTCTCCTCTTTTTTTTTTTAATAAACAAGAGAATAGCATGATATGGAAGTGTCTTCCTCTCTAAAATTCAGCCAGGGATTGCAGAGTGCCAACAGATATGAGGAAGACTGGCTGATGTTGTCGAACTGCCAGACCAGGCACTGCCATGGCAAGGACGATTGAAGAAGAAAGGTAAGCTTGTCTTTCCATTAACTCGGTTTTTCTTTTAGTCTAGGAGGAAGAGGTTCCCCTGGGCAGGGAGGGAGACCTCTGAAGTAGCTGTCTGTGGTTTGGAATTATTACCGAGGCATCGCTTTGCATGCATGACTTTTCAGTGTGCTGGTCTGGTGTGACCGTCACGTTCCAAAGCGTGGTCCGCAGGATTTCTCCATGTCTTTTGTACAAATGCCAAAAGGAAATGCAGGCTGATGTGAGCTTGGCTTTGCTTCCTGCAGGGATCGCAATGCTCGCTGCAGTGACGATGCGATGCCGATGAGATGAGAGCTGCTTTCTTTCTGGGTTACAATTGGACATATGCGATGCGACAAGCGTGGACAGAGGCCGCATGCTGATTCCCAATGTGGATGTTAAATCCCCAAGCTTTCTAGAAGAGGTGGGCTTTCTTTATTCCTCGCTTGTGTTTGCTGGCCCCAATAGGTACTTTGAACTCGTTGTTCGTCACCTTCCTTTATTCACTTGGTCACTTTGCTTTTTATTTTACTGTTTTTTTTTTTCTTTTCTTTTTGTTTCCAGGAATCGATCATGCTACTGGCTCCTGTGCTTCCTTCGGATTTGAAAAGCCTTTGTAAAGGTGCGTGCCACTACTTCACCAAATGGTACAGCCCCTCCCCTCCCTTGTTCCACTAACTTAAGCTCGGATTTTGTGGATATCACGACTGACGACAGACGTGTTTCGTTTCAGGACACTCGAAAATCATGGAGTTTACTTTGTCCAGATGCCTTAACGCGCAAACTCTCAGATGCCTTAAAGCATCCATTTGGTTTCCATCATCGTCTTACAACAACAGGCTTGTCGGTAGTATTTTATGGTTCGTATGCATCTCATCTTTCCCTGGTTTCCTGTCAGTGGGTTATAAGTGGATTTGGAGAAGATCCTGCTCAAAGGAATCTTACACAAGGTTGAGCGTGACTGGAGCAGTTTTCGAGTGACATATCGCCCCAAATGCTTTCTAAAGCTTTGGACTATTCGAGGACCACTGAGTAGTTAACAGAGATGGGTGGACAGCTACCAAAGGGAGACGGGGGGTCAGTTGTCTCTTGTTTTTATACGCAACCAAGATCGTGTCTCTAACTCTGCTAAATTGCGGCCTCAGGATCGGCATCTCGTGAGTGTTGGAATTGGAAGATGCCGCTGCTGCTGAAGATAAGACTTGCGGAGGAAACGGGCCACGTGGAAGAAGCGCAATTGATGGTTTGTCGGCCATGCTTTTGTCAAACTTGGGAGATTCGGCTTTGAAACAATTGAGCTGAGAGATCCAGTCCAGTGAGCAAAAGGTGAGTCGTTATCTTCCGAAGATCTAGCTTGCAATGGATTACGGTTCATGAAATTTCACCTTTTCACTTTGCTTTGTTGCCTCACAGGGAGTTTACTCGCAATGTGGACGTAGTAAAAGCCACGGAAAAGCAATCAAGCTGGTGAACTGCAAATTGTGTGACCTTACTCGATCCATACTGCGCAAGTTGCAACAAGGAGGGAAATGGTCGGTGACTTGACTCGCCCGAGGAGGACTCCGAGTGCGTGCGGTGCGGCCACAAAACTCGAGTGTTATCCTCGACGCTGCTTTAAAGGTATGCCAAGTACAATGACAAATCTCCTCATGCTTCTGTGTCTTGACAAGGGTGACAATTCAACAGGTAAACAAAGAAGAAGACCCTTCCCTACGTGTGCTGCGCCGGGCGGAGCTCAAAAAACAGCACACACTCACACACACAGACCGGTCTGCCGACTGTTCGTACTGTGGACCAACTTGTGTTGTGTGTGTGAGTGTGGGGTGGTTTTTATGAGCTCGCCCACGCACACACCGCACACACTCAAAGAAATGCCACTACTACCGCTTCTGCTTTGCACTGAACTTAACGAGGGGAGAAGCAACCTTAGATTTGCCTTTTGCGTGGAATGAAGAGGAAAGAATAATATTTTATAAGGCACAACATGGATCATTTACTATGTGAGGTATATATATCTATAGGTGCTTGGAGGTACGTAGAAGGCAAGCAGCTTTAAGTTTAAAGCCGAGAGAGGTACATTCTCCACTTTGTTTGTTGCATTTTTCGTTGTTGTTTCTCTCACTCACGCCCTGTTTTGTTCTGTAGTTGTCATTTCCCAGCTCACCTCGTCGGCGGAGGTACGGAGTGTTCGCCATGGACGCCGACAAGCCGAGATTTTGAGGATTTTCTTATTTCTTCCAGTTTGACTCGGGGAGGCATGGTAAAATCTTTCGGGCGAAATGCTCTGCCCGTACTTTCCTAGGCTTGGAAATGCTCACAAAAGTTCCTTTCTTGTTCTGTAGAATTAAGGGGGGAGTAAAGGCCGCTTTCTTGCAGCGACCACAAGGAAGCCGAGAAGGAAAAGGAAAAAATCCAGGTAAGCGTAGTAGGATCATCGTAAAGGAGTGCTCTAATGGCTAGCTGACCACAGATACCTCGTCCTCGTCTTGCTCGTCGCCATCGTCGTCATCGTCGGACGCTGTGGTGGTGGTGGTGGCGGTGGTGGTAACCGCGGCGGCTGCAGTAGCCGCAGCCGCAGCCGCACGCCTTCCAGCGTCGGCCCCGGCGTCGGCCAGCGCGGCGTGCCCGAGCCCAAACGCGCGGATGTGATCCTTGAGCGAGCGCTTGTGCTTGAAGTCGGAGCCGCAGATGCAGTACCACAGCTTGCCGCAGTTCTTCTCGTGCGTCCGCCAGTCGCCGCGGACGGCAAACGGTTTGCCGCACTTGCGGCAGGGGAAAGGCTTGATGCCGTGCTTGCGCTTGTAGTGCGTCTGGAGGGTGCGGAAGTCCTTGAGGGGCTTGGCTCGCGGGTGGTCGACGTGGTTGCGGCATCCCACCGCGCAGCAGTAGCAGGGCAGCCGGAGCATTGCGGTGGGCTGCGTGCCGCGCAGTGACTCGGGGCCGCGGCGGTACTGGGATCCATGCCCCCACATATGCATCTGTTCAGTCACACACAGGTAAGAGAAAATTGAGATTTTTAAGTCATATAATTTTTTAAATTTTTTTTTCAGAAAAATGCATGCTCTGATCATGGAAGACCCAATCAATCAATCCAGCAATCATCAATGGGGAATGTTTGTCTCACCCAGGCAAGCAGCTCAAGCAGCTGAAGAAATCTCAAGCACCTCAATTAGGTGAGCTGTTTATCTTTCTTTTCTTTCCTTTTTTTCTTCTGATGAAAATGGAAAGGTGATGGAAAGATTGGACACACAGAGTGATGTATGAAAGGAAAAAAAAAGGCAGATAGATGCAGCCTTGGAACATCTAGAAAGAGAAGGAAAAGAGAGAAAACAATAGCAATGCCAATGCAATGTCACATTATACATCAACTGAAACCAACCAATGAACATGGATATGAACTGTTCAAGATTCAATCTTTCAGTGTTCAGAAATGTTCAAGCGCACTATGAACAATGAGAAAAAAAAAGAACAAAAAGAAGAAAAAAACACACACACGCACACAACACAAGTCCATACCTGCATGTTGTTGTAGCGGTTGAAGGTCTTGCTGCACACGGGGCACGAGAACTGCGTCGGGCCGACGAGAATCTGCGCGGGCGTTGGTATCCAGTAGTGACCGTGTGGCAAACGAGATCTCGACTCCCGCAGCAGCTGCTCCTTGTACACGGGCACCGTCTGGTTCTCCTTCTGCTTCTGCTTGTTCCCGGAGCTGCAGCTGCTGCTCGCCACTCCACCTGGACTAGCGCCCACTCCTCGATGATGATCATACTGATATCCATATCCACCACCTTGGAAACTGCCATTGCTGCTGATTTGGAGCGGTGGTGGCGCTATTGCCATGACCCCCAAGCTGCCTCTGCTACTACTGCTCACCACCATCTTGTCACCACCACTGGGATCTTGGCCTTGCTCGCTCTCCGAGTCGGACGACGAGGACGATGAATCGTCGGACTGGACAGGCAAGATTGCAGTCTTGATCATGACTGGTTGGTGGCGATGCTGCTGGAGCTTGTATGGTATGGTGTCCTCCTCCTCCTCCTCCGTGGTGGTGATGGTGGATCCGGCGGAAGCGCTGGTAGCCAGGCTCCAAAATGGAATGGGCTTTGTTGTGACGACGAGCTGACGATCTCGAACATGGTTGTCTTCTTTGTCTTGGGCAGCAGCAGTGCCATCTTGTTCGTCTTGTCGGAGATCTTGTTCGTCTTCCTCTTCTTCTTCTTGGGAAGCGTCGCAGGGAGGACAGCACTCGCCATCGTCGTCTCTGGCTAGCAAATTCAGCTCCTGGGGAGCTTGCTGCTGCAATCTTGCGAACGGCAGCCAATTGCTATAGCAGAGATCGAATTCCCGGCCGCTGCTGCTGCTTGCGCTGCTGCTGCTGCTGACAATGGTGGTGGGACTTGGATTTGGATTCGCCATCAACGCCGCTAGCTGTGGTGGCGACGAGGAGCTGAGCTTTAGACCGCTCCTCACGAGCGCCCCGCGAGACGAGGCCTCCATGAAGGGAATGGCGACGGGGAGAGTGGACACGATTGCCGGTGCCTGCTGATGCCCCAAACCCAGCTTGAATCTCTCCGACACCCCGAGTGGCATCACCATATAGCCCTCTCGCTCGCGCTCTCGAAGATGATCATCCTCGACTTCTCGCCTTTGTGTATTGTTCTTGAGCTCCCCATGATGTTGGTGGTTTCCAAACTGGTGGTGATGCACAAACTCTTGCTGCTGCTGCTGCTGCTTGAGCTCGAAGTGATGGAGCTGCTGTTGCTGCTGCCGCTGGTAGCTCATCTTCACCCACATCTAAATCCTCCTCTCTATCCGAGCTATCTGTCAAAGATACCCCTCGATCCCAGCCAGCTTAAGTTGGCGCTAACCTTAAAGATCAATCAATCACTTCTCTCTCTCTCTCTCCTCTCTCACTAGAAACAAGAGAACTTCCTCCATTTTAAAAACATGCAGTGAAGATAGCGGACGAACCACCTTCGGATTCTTCACAACCGCTCACTTTTCTTCCTTGCTTTGTGTGTGTTCTTGTTCCGCTTTCTCTCTATCTCCCTCTCTATCCTTGGATCAGTACTCCTCTTTCATGAATTGGCGGCCTTGAATGAAAAATGAGAATGTGAGAGAATGGAAGAAGGGAGCAGCAGCAGCTCCATGAATCCGAGAGGCGGGCATTTTGTCGACACGTCCTTGAATTCCTCTCTCTCTCGCCTTTCACTCACATCCCTCTTGTCGATATTCCTCGGCCAGCCGCCTGTGCACAGCCAGCGGCAGAACAAGAACAAGGATGAGCAGTCCAAGGAATAAAAACTCCAACATGGACGTGGAGCTGTTGCTCGCCCTTCTCTATCCATCCATCCTGCCTTGGAGTCTCAAAAAATTCTCTCTGGCACCAGAAAGAGCAGTAAGTACTCAGCCTACTATGCAAAGTCGCTCTCTTTTTCCTCCCTCACTCTCTCTAGACTTCCGCTCTTTGAGTGTGAGAAAGAATGTGTGCGCTTGAGAGAGAAAGAATGAGTTTTGTGTTTTTGTGTGTCCAGCAGCTATGGATTGAGCAAACCCGCCATTAACAACCCAGAGAGGTGGATCAGTAGTGGTTTAAGTCCAAGCCCGCATCTTTTGTTCCTTTCTTCTTCCTTGGTCGCTGTCATGGAGCTCTCTTTATAACTCTCCTCCATGCCAGATGAACGCGGAGCTGTGGTGTGGAGAGGGAGCGAAAGAAAGAGCTCTCCATGGCTGACTGAGAGTGGAGAAAATTCTAACACGTTGTGCTTGTGTTGCCAACATAAATTCCCTCGTATCAATCAATTTCCCGGTCCTAATCCATCAGAGTTGCAGGCGCCATAGTACTCGAGACCAACACAGGCAGAGCAGGGAGAAGAAAGGATGATATCAGACACGAGCACACCCGGAGCTCAGACACCTCGCTGGAAAACCACACAAAACGAACGAGGAAGGAAGAAGGAAGTATGAGTAAAACTTACTCTCTTTGCTCTCATTGTTAATACCCCCCATCAATCAATCACTCGCATATATCAATATCAATCGCTCGCGGAGCAGCGAGAACTCCGAGCAAGCAAGCTTTTTAGACGAGAAGAGAAACTTTTAAAAACGAAGGAAAGACGACGACTTTTGGAGTGCAGAGCAGAAGTATGCGATCTCTCTTCCGGTGGGAAGATCTCAAAGAACTTAAATGAAAAGATAAGGAGAGATTGATTGGGAGAGGTGAGAGCCAAGATCAGAGAGAAAGAAAGAGCTGCAAGCTGCCAAATTGAAGAGCGACCAATCTCAAATCATACGACAAGTGATCAGAGATGGATCAGAGCTGGGCTGAGCTGCTGCTACGCAAAGTACCACCTGCAATGCGCATGAGAATTAAAAAAGCTCCCCTTCTCAATCTCGCAACAGTCACGCCATAGATCAAAGCACAGTTGATCAAGCAAAGAACACACATACACGAACTTAGAGGTAACAAATCCACACAATATCACACAGAGACAAGAGTATACGAGCGAGCTCGGCGTGAATCAAGCTGGGAGGAAAGGAATAAGCTGAGAAAGAAAGGAGCCAACTAACAAGCTATATGCCTATGGACAAAGGCAACCAGGAAAGAAAGAAAAGAGCTCTCAGAGAGGAGGACAGTGTGAGAGACAGTTTCCCAAAACACCCAAAGCTACATTCGCTCACACGAGCCTAAAATACCAGCAAGGCAACAAAGAAAAAGAAGAATACACATTCAAGCTGGGGGCCGTATGGGCGTAGACAAAGTGGCTCCCAGCTTTAAGAGGGGCATACAAATACGATACGAATACCGGCAATTTGTGGAAAGGCTATACGGGAGATCTCTCTTTCACCCGGAGCTAAAAGTGGGACTGTGCGTACTTGAATGTATAAATTACTTACACAAGCCACTGCGAGACTATGTAAACAGTAGATGAATGAATGATCACAGGACACATAACACAGCGCCGACGATTCGGAAATGGCAAGGCATGTTAACAAGCAAGTGCCTGCGACTGTGAAGTTATAGTAATACGACTCATTTATGGAGAGATGGGGAATTGGGAGGCAAAGCGGCAAATACAAACAAGCCAGAGGGATGATGGGCGATGGATCAGAGCTCGACCCAGTTGACGATTTGACGATCGAAGACAACCCATAAGCACAAAACATCCAATTCAATCGACCCACCAGGTCAAACAAAATGCCCCTGCGCGGCACTGCATGGCTTACCACAGTGGGCGCGAGGTTGAAAGGAGGGCTAATCCCTCTTTGCTATATATATATATACAAGTTACACGACACAGCGAGCGGCGCCGCTACGGCATCTTTTGGCGGCGCCGCTACAGAAAAGGTGACAGCTGTGCATTTACACTGCAGAAAGGTGTCTTATCGCTGTCGCGAAGTGTTTTTTTCATAGTTTTGGATTTCTTGGTGTTTTTCTTTGATGCTGTTTCACAGGCATGGAGAACCATGATCCGCTTTTTCTGATCTGGGTCCGCCATTTCCTTTCGCTCTATTTCTTGCACACCATGAATGCCGCTCTTCGGCATTTTGCGCAATCCTTTGGTTGGAGCCACACACATAAAAACGAATAAATGTGTGAGTCCAACGTTGCTGTTGAGCCATCGGTGTGAGCAAAAAGGAGAGATGGATGGATTCACTGGGAATCTTTTCCAATCCCTGGACGATCCCTTCCTCCACTGACAGCAAGTTCCTGTTTATCACCCAATCTTACAAAAAAACTAAGAACTTGAAATAACCTCTTTTTCCTCGCACCAGTACTGCTTCTGCTTCTTCAAGAGTCGTCTCGATCGCCATCCGAGGCCTTCCACTAACTTTCACTTTCGATTTATAATCCTCTTCACCAACAACGTCTGCATCGCACATTCAATAACACAACCTCATCAAAGAGAAAAAACTTCATACAAATCTTACTTTGGTCCCGGATTGTTTTTCTCTGGCGACCGTTGGTTTGCTTGGGACCATCGCCGTACGCGTGCCGTACTTAGCAGAGCGAAAGAGATGATCTTGGCTCCCACCGAGACAGGAACGACTATGATGATTTTTTCCCGCGGCATATTCACCGAGCCTGCAGAAAGCTTCGCCCTGCTTTTGACTCGATCGGATCGCGGCTTGTCGATCTCCACCACAAACTTCTAAAAGAACAAAAATAAAAAGAAGAATGAAAAAACGAAACTTTGATATCGGCCTCTTCCTTTTGTTGTTTTCGACGATGAGTGGTGGTGGGATCAATGGAGTTACTCGTCATGTGGGATTTGTCGGCGAGGGTGACAACGCCGCGGTCTTTCTCCTTTCACTTTGCGGTCCTTGGATTGGATGCTCGAATCGAGTTGAGGTCACGCATCGTCCTGTGCTGTATTGCTCTCAGCTGCTGCTGCTGCTGGCTCGAGTTTAAAGACGCTAAAGAGAGCATGAACTTCGCTGGCTGTGTGTCTCTCAGGGATACGTAAAGCTCCGTGCCAACCTGGTACTCGCAGAATTAAACAACGATAAGGAAACAAGTCAAGCTTACCTGTGTTCCAAGACGACCGGTCGGGTAGAAATCCTTTCGATCGTCTCTTCCACTGCTACGCCAAAGGCATTTATAAAAGCACCCCTGGAATGTTTTCCGAAAAACGTGCAAGTTAGTTGCTAGTTGGACTCGCTTCGCATTACCTGACGTTAAGTAGGCAACTGTCGACACTCACATTGACAACTGATCGGTTTTGAAATGATCTGCAAGGATCCCGACTGCAACACACAAGCATTGATGGCACTCGGGAAGTTCTTAATCCCACCCCTTGGTACTACAGTTCTATCTAAAAGCAATATAAAGGCAAAGGTTAGAAGGGTACATCTCCAATGACAACGAGAGAAAAGCTACGTACCTGGTCGCTGATGAGCATTGGGACATACTAACAATCAGTGGCCCATCCATCTTTCCTTCCACTATACTCTAAATTGTAACAAATCCTGCGTATAGTGACACTACTGGAAAATCCTATCTAACCGTTCTTCTGTCGCTATAACACAAAAGCACTGCAAGCGATCAAAGTATAAGCTCGTAAAGAAGCAGCGTACCTTCCAAACTATCGTCAGCCAGTGTTCCGCATACCAGCAGCTATGCCATTTATCGAAATGAGAAGAGCATCACGAAGCCTCTGGTTGCCCTGATCCTGTCTCAGACGCCTCAACACCTCCACTTGTAGCATGTTGAGAGGCGTCAAGTACGGCAGCCTACTTTCGATCAAACGTCTCAGCGTTTTATTGTTCTCCGCTAGCCTGTGATGCCCACTCACTTCCAAAACACACCTCTCTGTCTTGTGGAACTCGTCCCGCAGCTCTTGTCCGAGTGTCTGCCTCGCTGGATTCACTAACCAGTCGTCATAATGCTTCGCAATGGCTGTGTCTGCTTTTGCCAACCCCATCTCAATAAGATCTATCGTAGACTGGAAAAACGGCCACTCGCGATACATGGCCTGAAGTTCCTGTATATATCCCTGCGATATGACTGCCTCCAGTCCCTTCCCCACCCCCAGCCATGCCGGAAGAACGAACCTGCTTTGCGTCCATGCAAATATCCAAGGTATGGCCCTCAGCTGTCCAATGCCGCCAGACTTTTTTCGCCTCGTCGGCCTGCTGCCAATGTTCAAGTTTCCCAGCTCGGATTCTGGGGTTGCCTCCTGGAAGTAATGCAGAAACTCCTTATTCTCGTAGACGACATTGCGATAATGTTGGCGACTGACGTCGGAGATCTGTTCCATGACCGTTCTCCAGCAACTAACCCGGGGCGAGTCTGGAGGGTTTAACGTTGCCAAAAGAACAGCCGTCGTGTAGATTTCCAATTCACGTAAAGCAGTCTGTGGAAGGCCAAACTTCGCCTGCACCATCTCTCCTTGCTCGGTTATACGCAGAGTTCCCTGATATGGATCACAAGAGAGAAATGAGAACCTTTTAGCAAAGCCGAGGATTAACTTACAATTACGGAGCCAGGAGGCTGTGATTGAATAGCGAGATACATAGGCCCGCCACCCCGTCCAACGCTTCCTCCTCGGCCATGGAACAGAGTCAATTTTATCCCGTAGTCCTTGCATGCAGCGACAACATCTTCCTGAGCTTTGTACAGTTCCCAAGCCGCCGTGAAACGGCCAGCATCTTTGCCAGAGTCAGAATAACCCAGCATCACCTGTGCATAGTGTCTCAGCGATACAAACAACAAGTGAAAGTTGGTGCCAACCTCTTGGTGTCCCTGGTGATTTGTAACCAAATGATCACGGTACCACGGAATAGACAGAAGCCTCCTAATTATCGTGCCTGCGTCTCTCAAGTCTTTTACAGTTTCAAACAATGGAACTACCCGAAGCCTGTAAATGCAGTCCGGATCGGTTGGAAGATACAACCACATAGAAGCAACGCTTACGATGTTCCAGGACAGGGCTTGCCAAGCTCGCCGCTCACTACAAGACGAGCTTCCTTCTGGAGCAGCTCAACAGCAAGAACGTCACTAGCCTGAAAAACCATCAACAGCCAATTTATTGTTCAACACGGTCATAAAAAAAAGACCTCAGATGTCATTGAGACAATGTATGCTCCAAGGGAGTTACTTCCTAATTCTGCTGCAACCCGAAAGGTGTTGAGAACTTCTTGAACCTCCGAAGAAACCTGATCAAAACACGCGTGGGAAACGCCTCAGATCTGTTGAATCACTTACTGCAATCGTTGGCGGGACAAGAGGCCTTTTCCCTTTGAGCTCCTTCGTTAGGAAATCTAGCTTTTTATCTTCATCCCACGCGCTATACGTTCCCATGTCGAGAAACTTTGTTATTGCGTCCAAAGCCTCGGAGTGTTTCTCAGCTTCCTAAAAGAACCTTTACGTAAGTACAGCTGAAACAAGAACGCTCCCTCTAACCTGACGTAAATCGAGTTTCATCAGTGTCATTCCAAATATTGACACACGCCGAATAAGATCTGTAAGGCGCCCGTCCGCTAGCACTTCGGCTTCACAAGACTCCTACACGACACGCATTTTCAGTACAAAACAACACAACACACCAACTAGTACCATTGATCGGTGGCAAAGCATTAATGGCTCCAAGAGCTGTTCTGGAGTTTCGTAGAATTCGCTAGGATCATAATCGCAAGGTAAGTCGTCCAAGAGCTCCTCCATGCGACGGCGAGTGTTCACGAGCTTGATAACGTCAAAGGTTTAGCATAGGATGTACAGGCTCAATTAAAAAAATGTATATACCTTCTCTCTGATGTGACCAAGCACCACTCTATATGGCGCAATATCAGGCCGACCCGTCGCACTAGGATTCAGTAGTTTATCAACACTAGATTTACTGATTGAATCTGTGCCTGTCCTTTTCCGAATGCCAGCCGAGATGGCCGCTGCGAGAATGGTGGCTGCTCTAGTTGGCGATGCCGGTGATTCTTGATCGTGTTGAATACTATCCCTCATTATCTCCGCTTTCACAGCACTTGGAGACGACTCATTCGACTGTAGCGCTGTTGTGGTGTTGGAGGAAGCCTGCACCAACCTTATGAACTTTTGTTTTGTTTCAAAAGCAATAATTTATTGACCTGGTAAGTTGTTTGCATGTCTATGTCGTCCTTGATTGGAAGTTCTAGAACAGGCAGTTCAGCAACACCGTCTGGATCTGTAATAACTTGATAATGAGCAAAATAGAGAAATAGAAATTACAATTTAAAAAATTAACAAAAACAAAAAAAAAAAACTAGGCTTACCAGAGCATGCGGGTATATCTGCACCAGCTGGGAGATTGGAGTGGACGCTGGATGCAAAAAACTCTCCGTGCCTTCCATACGCTCTGTGGTAACATCTTTCATGATGTTCATCATGGTCGTGCTCATGTTCTCGATCTGAGTTAATAGAAGTCAAGCAGGAAAAACAATTAAAAAACAATTGAATTACCTTCTGCAACTATGTCATATGCAAATTGAGCTAGCTTCTCGTCACAATTACTCACGGACAATTCGAACCTCAGGCTATCCACTTCCCTCAGGTAAAGGTCTGCAGCTATCCATCGCGCCAAGTAGCAAACATCTCGGGTCACCTGGGAAAACAAAAACTTGTAACACTCACCTGCAACATTATTTTCTTTTACTTACTTTTGCAGTCACATGTGGATTTCCATCTCGGTCTCCGCCCATCCACGAGCCAAACTTGATTGGCGTCGACGATAGAGGCAGCGGTCTTCCTGTATGCTGCAAAACATCGCACACCACGGCTGCGTTAGACCGGTTGTCTTTGCCAGGCCACGACCACACACTCGCTGCAACAAAATTTTAGTCCCGCACTTTCTTCAAGGCCGTGCTGATTCTTCGTAAATATTGAGGAACCGCCCGCCACAAAGTCTGCTCAACAATGTGCAACCCTGTAGTTCTATAACGAGTCAACTCAAAAAGCGTGAAGAATACAAGATTTTGTTGAGCACCTCCGCGAGCTTCGTCCAGAGGTGTAGGCCTTCGTCGCCTTAACTCGTCCGTTTGCCACAAAGAAGTGATCTCTCTCACCTAGCGAATTTGACAAAGCAAGCACTTCAGCTGTCTGACAACGCTAATAGATCATCATACCAAATCTTCAATAAGCAGCTCCTTCTCTTCATGAGTTAAATCCTGCCGATCGTTTCTTTCCAAAAGATGCTGTAAAAAATAGACAAACGAGAATTAGAACAAAGAAATCGTTCAAGCTTACCCCGATGCGAACGTGTTTGTATTGGAGCGTCCGCCTGTTGATTTGTGTTGGATGAGCAGTCAGTACTATTTCGACTTCCTAAAGAACTCATTGTCCGAGAAATAAGACTAGAATAAAAGGAAAAACAGGATATAGTCACCTGATTAGACACCGCATTGTATATATCATCTTGAGAAACTCCCGATTGGATGAGCCTTTTAAAAACATCGTCACACGACTTTGATGGATGGGATGCCATCCTATTCCTCCGGACGCTGCAAAGAACAAGGATCCCAAACAACAAATAAAAACATGTCATGGCATAGCAACACAAGAGAAAAAGAAGCATTTTCTACCGGTGATGCGTCTCAGCGATTCCCATGAGACTCAAGTGATGACTAAAGGCTCTTGCCAGCGGCACTGTTTCATCCACAGACATATTCAAGAGCTCCTTCTCGATTTGCTTCGAGAGCCACAGCGCGGCCTCCTCGACCCCAACAGTCCGCATGTTGCACACGCTCTACACAGAAAAATTTCGGCAAAATCCACGAAAATCCATCCAGATACCTGCGCTAGAAGCCGCACGCGCTCGACCTTCTCCATAAGCCGCGGCCCGACCTCGCGCTGGAGGCAATCGTTGAGCAGATTCCCCAGCAGATGACAATCGTCATCAAACGCCTGGAAAGAGATCTCCTCCGCAATGTCGTCGGTCGCATCCGTCATGGCGCCGGCCGTGCTGCGCTCTAGATCGATCAATCGATCGATCACTGCGAAATATTTCTCCCTCCGCCAAGAACCCTAAACTTTGCCCTTACTTTTGTGTTTTCCCGCCGTTATGCTTCAAAGAATATACCCCTCATGAGTTTCTTTTCGGGAATTTTAAACTTGGCGCATTAGGGCAGAAAGGGGGGAGCTTCGCTCGATGGCGCTATGGCGCACCGGGGGAGGAGCAATGGCGCTGCTTCCTCGCCTACGAACGCCCATGGGACAGGTGATTCTCGTCGGCGCCGTGTGCTTCTGCTGCCCGGGGATGTTCTCGGCGCTCACAGGGATGGGCGGCGGCGGCCAGGTCGATCCCCACGCCGCCAATCGAGCCCTCACGGCGCTCTACGCGGCATTCGCGATCTTCGGCCTCCTCGGCGGCGGATTCAACAATATTTTGGGCCCGAGGATCACTGTCCTGGTCGGCAGCGTCTTCTACGCGCTCTACGTCGCCTCCTTCCTGCGCTACAACCACAGCCACGACGAGAGGCTCGTCGTCCTCGCCGGGGGATTGCTAGGGTTTGGGGCCGGGCTTCTCTGGGCAGGGCAGGGATCCATCCTCATGTCCTATCCTCCGGAGCGAGACAAGGGCCTCTACATCTCCATTTTTTGGAGCGTTTTCAACATGGGTGGCGTGGTGGGCGGATTGATCCCATTCTTCCTCAACTTTAGCCGCGATCGAAGCTCCTCTCACTCCGTCAACGACACCACTTACATCGCATTCATCGTGGTGATGCTGTGTGGGAGCATTCTCTCGCTCAAGCTCGTCCAGCCGGATCAAGTGGCGCGCGAGGATGGAACCCAGGTGATCTCCGCGCTCCACACCGATGTTGCGACGGAGTGCTGGGAGATCCTCAAGCTCTTTCGTGATCCGAGGATGCTAGCGTTCGTCCCGGCATGCATCGCCAGCAACTTCTTCTACACGTACCAGTTCAACAACGTGAATGGCTTGCTCTTCGACGTGAGAACTCGCGGCCTCAACAACGTTGTCTACTGGTCGGCACAGATGCTTGGCTCGGTTCTAGCAGGAAGACTGCTCGACAAATCCAGCCCCAGCTCTCGATCGCGCGCTCACCTGGGAATTCTCCTCGTGGCGGCCGCCTCGACGCTCATCTGGGCTGCCGCGTTCGTCAACCAGACGAATTACTCTCGCCATCGTCTTCCGCATGGAGTCCCGCTGGATTTCACCGATGGCTTCCAGTTCCTGGGCCCGTTCGTGCTCTACTCGTGCTTTGGCCTGCTCGACGCGATGTTCCAGACGCTGTGCTACTGGGTCATGGGGGAGATGAGTGGGGAGGTCCAGACTTTGAGCCGCTATGGAGGATTTTACAAGGGTCTCCAGAGCGCTGGAGCGGCGGTGGCTTGGCAGCTTGATGCGAGCGAGATGGCTTTGATGCCTCAGCTGTGCCTCAACTGGATTCTCATGTCACTCAGCTTTCCACTGCTGTGGATTATGGTGAGGGATTTTAAGGACGAGCGACATCACAGGAAGGAGGACGAGGAGCACCTCTTTTTGCTCGATAGCTCGAGCACCAACTCGGAGGATTGAGTGAGAAGATTAGATATGGGCCTCTAAAAAGAAGAGGCAGTATGATCTTTTCTTCCTGGTGTAGTTGTAATTTAAATGCTGGCCACAGCTTCAGCACTCTTCTTGGTGTTAGTTGTAATTTTTAATGCTGGCCACAGCTTCAGTAAAGAATTTAAAATAAATTGGAAACGATCAATTGTAAAGTTTGTATATGTATATACATATATTACCTTGGCTATATGGACTCATTTGGGACTGATTTTAATGTATACAGTATGTACATATATAATTGAATTAGTGTCACCAGCCCTTCCCAATTAGCCACAGCCAGTCAAGGGTTACACCCGCAAAAATTCCTCCAAGTAGAAAAAACACAAGAATGTTTCCAATAGCATTTTGCTCCGGTCCCTGAAAAAGAAAACACAGAGAGAAAATTTAAAAGGAGCAAACTTAAGAGAAGGAATCGCTACATACCTTGTAGCCTCTGGGGGCCTCAACAAGAACACAAACAGTCAGGTGTCCATTGGTGATTCCGAGGAGAATGCACAGCATGAGCATCCATCCTTGGTCACCATACTTGGCCGTGAGATAAAAGGCAGGTATAAAAGCAAACCTCGCCACCACGGCCGCCAAAATTCCCACTCTCGACTTGATCTTGATGGCTTTGATCAAAGGAAGATATCTTCCAACCAAGTCTCCCAAGTTATACATCGTAATTAGAACAACAACGTACCTATAGATGTTTTGTCGTGAAGTTCCAGGAGAGATTGTAAAATCAAGCAACCAGCTTACCATGATCCCAGGCTGTGTGATCCCGTATCCTCGGCTAGAAATCCCGGGAAGATCGATAGAGTTAAAACGTAAATGGCGAACACATCAAATGCGTAGTCGACATTTTGTGAGAGAAGAGCGAGGCTAGAAAGCCTGGTGTTTCCTTTTTCAGAGTCCTGATGATTCAGAGAGATCTTATCAGTGTCTAGCTTTGCGATTCAAACGCAACGAACCTTTTCGAGATCAGTGACGACGACTCCGGCTGCAGCAAGATCAGCGTTTACTGTGGTGGCACCTTCCAAAGCCGCAGTTTTCCGGTAGTGTTTGACCATCTCAAGCTTTGGGAAAACCACGGCGTAGAGGATCAAGCACAGGAGCTCGAAGAAAGCCGAGATGAAAAAGAAAGTCACTGGAAAAAGAAAAGAGATGCACCATCTGATGGACACAAACTTTATATGAACTTACGAGCTCCTTTGCGAAGTCCAACTTTCGTGTCTGGAAACGAAGCTTTGGTGATCAATCGTAGGCTTGAGGTAGCAGCACCAGAAGCAGCGAGTCCTGCTGAGAATGACTGCAAGATAATCACCAAGAAAACATCGGAAGGATGGCTAAAAATTCAAAGAGATATGATTTTACCTGGAGGAAGTTTGGATGCATGTAAGATAAGTCTCCAACAATGCCACCTTGAACGAATGCATCGGCAAGGCCGAAGCAAGCGCTCAAGACGCACACTCCAATGTAAGGTCCGATGCCTCCATGGCCGGAGGTTGCCAAGTCCAGCTTCACCACCGACACACCCACAAAATATCTCAGCACTGAATCATTGAAAGTCCATACATTTTCAACGAAACTTGAGAGTAGAAAAAACGCAAACCAGAGAAGACAAATCACAATGGTCGGTCACTTACAATAGGGACGAGCGTCGACGATACGAAGAACACCGAAAAACCAAACAAGATCCTGAATCGCGTATCGACTTTAGCCTCGTAGTATGTGAGAATTCCCACTGTGATGAAAGCAAAAGGCTGATAGACGAGCGTAAGAACACGCGAAGGATGATAGTCCTATAAAACAAAAGAGAGAAAAACTAAACTTAGAGAGTCCAAGCTCCAAAAGGAGAGCTCCCACAAACCGGGAAGACGTGGGAGTAGTAATCCATGACTGTGAGCATACTGTTCCAAGTAAACAAAGATCCAAGTCCCAAAAGCCAGCACATAAGATACGCAGCACTCCTTCCCTGCGAGCAACATCGATTGAATCGAACAATTCCAGTCCAAGAACATCACGGCATTGTCTAAACTCTAGATCCAAAATCGCCGAGATACCTTCGTGGGTGGCTTGGCAGTGATCAAATCCATCTCCGCCGAGGAAGGCATGGCCCCCTTTTCTCGCCAAAGCCGCCCGCTCCCTCTTTCTCTCTCGCTCTCTTTCTCCCAGGAGAGGAGGCCTATTTCGTGCTACTGCTGTTTGCTTTTTACAGTACTCCTTTAAAAATAAGGATTTGTTTCTGGGAGAAAGCGTAGTCTATGTAGACGGGCGATTGTCAAATGTGTTTGCGGTCCCTGGTCTACGACTTTTCTAAAGTTTTTACGTCGAGAGAGAGAGAGAGACAGAGACAGAGAGAAAAAGAGCCCACATTCTTTCTTTTGTACACACAAAGTCTCGAGTTTTGAAAGCCAGATCAAGTACTTGGCTGATTTTGACAACCCATTAACAGGAATAAAGCAGAAAAGTGAGATTCGCTCTTCTGTTCTTCTTTGCGTGTGCACTAAGAAATTAAGAAAATTAAATATCTGGGTTAGGGTTCGCCCTGTTCTAGGGCTAGGGTTCCTTGGGTAAAGGGAGTTCTGGAAAACATCTGGTACTTTTTCTTTAAAGTAATGGAATCTATCTTTCTTTAAATGACCTAAAATGAGCATTGCTTTGATCCAGTCTTGCAAATCCTTGCATGAGCTGAAACGCGTCCACGAGAATCTCATGGAACGGGAGATCGATCCCAAGGTGGCGAGCTTTTTGATCCAGGGCTACGCCAGATTGGGAAGCGTCGAAGATGCCAGGCGCGTTTTTGACAACATCGTTCCTTCGAGGAGAGATTCCTTTGCATGGGTGGTGATGATCTCCGCCTACGCACAACTCGGCGACACCACAAATGCCCGGTCCGTTTTCGATGAAATGCCGACCAAGGATCAAATCTCCGCCACTGCCATGCTCTCTGCATATGCCCGCGTTGGGAATCTCCGGGAATCTAAGCGAATCTTCGCCAGGATGCCGACCTGGGACGTGCATTCCTGGACTGCAATGCTCTGTGCGCATACAAAAAAATCCCAGATCAAAGAGGCACGAGAAACTTTCGATTCAATGCGAGAAAGGAATCTCGTAGCCTGGAACGCGATGCTCTCAGCATATGCCCTTTCACGGCATCTAGAGCAAGCTAAAGACCTCTTTAAGAGAATGCCGGAGAGAGATACTATTTCATTTACTGCTATGCTCACCGGATATGCCCTATCTGGTTATCCGAACTCAGCGCTTCAAATCTTTAAATCCATGGGCGAATGGAACCATGTCTCTTGGAATGCGCTTCTTTCGGCATTTGCCCATAACGGGCATTTGCAAGACGCTAAGCGCGTGTTCGATTCCATGCCCCTTCACGACCTCGTGGCGTGGAATACCCTAATCTCCGCATACTCCCACCAGGGCTTGGTCGACGATGCCAGGGCGCTGTTCGATCGCATGCCGGAGAGGAATCAATCCTCCGCCACGCTCCTCGTCTCGATGCTCGCGCAAGCCGGCCAGATCGACGCCGCGCGCGAGGTTTTCGACAGCATCGCCCAGCCAGATCTCATTTCCAGGACGGCGATGGTGGCGGCCTACGGCCAGAGCGGCTGCCCGGCACAGGCCAGGGAGGAATTCGATCGAATGCGGCAGCGCAACATCGTCTCCTGGAACGCGCTCCTCACCGCGCTGGCGCTCAATGGCCTCGTCCAAGACGCGCGCCATGTCTTCTTCGCCAGGATGCCCGAGTGGAACCTCGTCTCGTGGTGCGTCATGGTGAGCGGCTACTCGGAGCTCGGGGATTTGGAGGGCGCCAGGGAGTTCTTCGATCTCATGCCCGAGCGAAGCCTCGCGTGCTGGAATGCGATGCTCTCGGGGTATGCCGCGGGAGGGTTTCTCCGCGAGGCCGAGGGGATGTTTCGCAGGATGAAGGAGCTAGATCTTGTTTCGTGGACTTGTATGGTCTCTGCATATGCCCAACACGGGCATTTGCGAAAGGTGGCGGAGATCTTCGATACAATGCCGGAGAGAAATCTCGTTTCGTGGAACTCGCTCCTGTCATCCTTCGCACAGAATGGCGAGTTTGAGGAGGCCAAGCGAGTGTTCGATCGGATGAAAGAGTGGGATCAAGTCTCTCTAAACGCGATGCTATCCGCGTATGCCCAGCACGGGTATGTGGATCACGCGAAAGCTTTCTTCGATCGAATGGCGCACAGGAACACCGTCTCCTGGAACGCGATGCTCGCTGGCTACGCCCAAAACGGGCATCTTCACGAGGCCAAGGAGTGCTTCTACGCCATGGAAGCTCCCCGCGATCTTGCGTCGTGGAACCATCTTCTCGCCGCTTACTCTCACTCGGGAAACCTCCACAAGGCCAGGGAGATCTTCGACACTCTCGAGCAGCAGAACATCCTCACCTGGAACTCGATGCTCGTCGCCCTCGCTGCGAATGGCGATCACTTTCACCTGGCGCTCGAGATGTTCCACACCATCTTCACGACCGATGCTCCGGACGGGATCTCTCTGACGTGTTTGCTGCTGGCTTGCAGCCATCGCGGCCAGCTCCGCGCCGGATTCCGGTGCTTCCACACAATGGTGGCAGACTGCGGATTGAAACCCGAGAAGCAGCATTACTGCTGCATGGTGGGACTGCTGGGACGAGCGGGGCGACTGGATGATGCCGAGGAGCTCCTCGCAAGCATGCCCTTTGTTCCAGATTCTCTCGACGTGAATTCGCTCCTCGCGGCTTGCAGTGATCACAAAGATGCGAGGCGAGGTGCTCGAGCGACTCGATCTTTGGGTGTTAACTTGAATTCCAAGCATGGATCGTCGTACGTACTGCTAAGCAACATGATACAGCTCCAAGGTTCTTCTTCCTCATTGATAAGAGTTGACAAAGCATAGAAAACTATACGCATTTGCCAACTTGCTTGTCCAAGAGCATCCATTAGTCAATTTTGTAATCGTTTCAAGCCGTCTTTCCGTGATTTTTCTAATGCTTTTCTCTGGATTCTTATACACAGATCATGGTGGTGCTGGTGGAAGTTTCAACACGGAGTATATAATACATAATTTAGTATTTGGACCTGGATAGCGATAAAGAATCCTAAAGAGTTGGAAGCATGATGCAAGGGCGGTTTCCTAGTGCTGGAATATTTTTTTAGTTATTTAGTTTTATCTATTTTCTTTTGTTAAAGCCGTGCACACGCAGGTGAGGACACACACATTGGGATTATAATATGTTTTTCTAAGTATAAAGTAAGGAAGGAAAGAAGAAATTTGTGTCTTTGCCGGATTGACAAATTTGACATTTGGATCCTCAGGTCAATCAATCAGTCACCTCTTTGCGTCTCTTTCTGCTTTGTTTTCTCCAGAGGGGGGTGGGCTTTGTTTAACTCTTTCTTTTGTTCAGGGATTGATGAATGAGATCAGAGATGATCCATCAAGCTAAATGTCAACAAATGCAATAATTGCAGGTTCATGATGTGGAGATCTTGTCTTGTGAGTTGCAGTTTTTTCTCACTAGGGCTCGAGGCAGGGGAGTTTTGTACCAGGCAGAGACTTTATAGACTGTGATTGTGATGTCACACAACAAGCAGCATTTGGACGAGCAGGATTTATAGCAGAGATGGAGACCCTTGATTCCTGTCTGATAAAATCTCCCGCAAGTTGCAATAAACTGCAGAGTGGGTGGAGTCGGCATGGTCAATTTCTTCTGAACCTATTCTGTTTCAGCAACTTTCAATCTGTAGGACTAGTAGTTGCTGTTGTTCTTTTCTTTTCTTTGCTAATGGCATGAATACATATACATGTGTAGAGCTGGGACCATCAGAATCTTGCTGTTTGTTTCTCACTTTTGGGGCAAATGTGGTGCAAAGATTTAGTGTTCACCATTTGGTGGTCACTATCATGCAATCTTGAGATTACAAAATAGGTGCCCACTTCTCAAATGCTATGCTATCCTCTCCCCCCCCTCTCTCTCTCCCACTTCTCAAATGCTATGCTATCCTCTCCCCCCCTCTCTCTCTCTCTCTCTCTCTCACACACACACACACACACTCTTATAAGATTAAATGTTTTTCAAAAGATTTTAGTGGGGTATGTGGTTGCTGACTTGATCACCACCTTGATTCTTGAATAGTCAGAGAGGGATATATTCCATTTATCATCACCACCAGCAAAGGACAAGGCCCATGGAAAAATTCCCATGGTTTCTTTAGGGTTCTTCCTCTCCATCCCTCTCCAGAGGATCCTCTCTTCTCTTCCTCGCTTGGCGCTCTTGGCTTTCGTGTGATGTTCTTGCTCGATCTCTTGTAGCGGCGCGGATTTTGGGGCGCCCTTGCTACATTCTTGATGCTGCTGCCGATCGAAATCGAATGATCCAGCAGGAGATCTTCGATCTGTCCATGGGTTTGGCCATGTCTTCGTCCCAGGCACCGCATTCCTCGTGCCTGGGGATGAGATTCCAGAGGCGATTGCACAGGCAAAAGCTCTACATCCGGAAGCGCGCCGGGCAGCTGTGGAGATTCGTCAAGAAGCTCCGCGTGAGATTGTTCCTAGGTCAGTCACTCTCGATCGATCGAAATATCTCTCGTCTCACCCTCTCGGGTCGATTGATCCATCCATCGCAGGCGGCAGGAGCGGCAGGAATCGCGTGGTCGCATCCGAGCAGCACCAAGCCCCGGCGCCAGCGCCAGCGCCGGGAGGAGGAGAATGCAGCACGCCGTCGCGCAAGAATCCGCGCAACAAGATCAAGATCGTCAAGAAATCCACCTCCATTCTCTTCGAGGAGGTCCAAGCTCCAGCCGGCGAGTGGTCTCTCATCCCCGGCCTCCCACACGACGTCGCGCTCCAATGCCTGGCTAGGGTTCCTCGCGTGGAGCACTGCCTCCTCCGCGCGGTGTGTCGGTCCTGGCGATGGATCGTGGAGACGCCGGATTTCGTGGAGCAGCGCCGGCTCCTGGGATGCGCCGAGGATTGGCTCTATCTCCACGTTGGGACGTCCCCGCATCTGGACGAGCGCCGGGATCGCGATGGATCGTCCAAGAGGGGGAGTAGCAGCGGTGGCAAGTGGCAGCTAGTCGGGGGATTTAGCTTGTGGCACGCGCTGGATCCTTACAGGTACAAATGGCACGCTCTTCCGCCAATTCCATACGATGAATCGGTGACGGGGGGCCAGGTCGTGCTGGGCGCTACCTCGGTGGTGATGAACGG